AGCGAGCACGTGTCTGTGTAACACGCCAAGTGGTGACCAGTGCTGTGAGAAAGGGTAAGAAAGCACATTAAGGAGAGGAGACATGGAAGGGGAAGAGCTGTTTCCCAGCAGATTCTCAGAAAAGGCCTCTTTGGTGGGGCAGTTTCTTAGGCAAAGAGAATGAGGTAGTGGAATGACTAAGAACAGCGACAAAAAAAAAAAGAAAGAAAAGAAAATGAAGTAGTGAAATGACTAGGACGACACAAAACGTTTTTATTTATTTATTTTTAGAGAGGGAATAGAGGGAGAAAGAGAGAGAGAGAGAGAGAGAAACATCAATGTGCGGTTGCTGGGGGCCGTGGCCTGCAACCCAGGCATGTGCCCTGGCTGGGAATCGAACCTGCGATGCTTTGATTCGCAGCCCGCGCTCAACCCACTGAGCTACGCCAGCCAGGGCACAAAAACGTTTTTAAAAGGAAAGAAAGCGAAGAAAACGAGGTGATGAGCCGGGCGGCCAGGAGAAGGATGCGGGATGCAGGCGGGAAAGGCAGGAGGCAGTCAGAGGCCCAGAGGCGGGAGTGTGCGTGGGGCCTGGGAGAGCCCAGCAGCTGGAGCAGAGAGCGCTGACGTCGGAGGGGCGCGGGCCGGGGAGCCCCAAAGGCCACGGTGAGGACGTGGACGTGTACTCAGAGTGAGGTGGGAGCCGGCCGGAGGGGTCTGAGCCCTGCAGAGACGGGACCGAGTTGGACTTTAACAGCGACTCACTCCGGTTCCTAAAGCTGAGAACACCCCGTGCAGGGACAAGCACAAGAGCGGGGAGACCGGTTAGGAACAGTGGCAGAGAAGAGGGGACGGGCACTTGGGCCCGGGAGGGGGACAGTGGTCATGGTCCTCCTTTCCAAGGAGGAAGCCGTGGTCGGTCAGGCACTCACTGAACCAGAAGCAAAGTGCTAGGCACTCTGGCTCCAGTGCTCCCCGGCAGGCGGTCTGTGGCCGTGCCCAGACTCTCTGTCCTCTGGGTTCTCCTCAGGGCGACACAGTGGGGAAAGCTGGGTGTGAGGGGAGGCCTGGGCTCCTATCCCACCCAGGTTATGGTGACTCTGAGCCTCAGTTTCCCCACCTGTAAAGTGTGGTAGTTGAATAGCCAAAGAGGGAATGACAAAATGTGGTGTATTCATACCACGGGCTATTATTTGGCCATAAAAAGAAACGAAGTACCAATGCACCTCACAGCTGGGCAAATCTTGGAAATAAGACCTGAAAGCCAGATGTCCAAGACCACGTATCAGGTGACTGAGTTCATGGGACATGTTCAGAATAGGCAGGTCCACAGAGACGGAAAACAGACCAGGGATGGCTGGGGCTGGGGGAGAGAGACTGCGGCGAGACTGCTGTTGCGTGTGGAGTTTTTCCTCTTCAGAGTGAAGAAAATAAATGCCCTGGATTAGACCGCGGTGGTTGGTGCACAACTCTGGGGCTCTCCTCCAAACCACTGACGTGCACACTTTGAGGGTGAACTCTGTGCTTCGTGAATTGCATCTTAACAAAACGGTTCTTTTTTACAAGCTGAGCTGGATCAAGGGCTTTTACCCTGAGGTCCGGGATGACGTCGGAGGGCCTGGACACCCCTAGACTGGTGGGAGACATTTAGAGTCTCTGAGCATTTGGGCAGAAGTTCAGAGTTTCAGAAGAAATTAAGAAGTTCAGCCCTGGCTGAAGTATGGAGAGCGCCCAGTGTCACTGGCCTTTGGCTGAGGTCGGAGGTCAGCAGTGGAGCCCAGGGTCTGGGACAGCTGTGCAGGCCAGGCCGCACACCAGAAGGCTGGATGAGGGAGGAGCGGAACGGTCTGTCTGCTGCAGCCCCTTGTTGGGCATCTTGGGCCCTGAAGGTGCATGTCCTCCGTTAGGGCACCTTGGGGGCTGCCTGCTGCCTGGGGGAATGAAAACGGGGTGGGAGGGTGCACAGCTAAGGTTGTTTTGGGTGGGGTTTTGAAAAGCATGCTGCTTGGCCCAGAGCGTTTGCTCTAGGGGCTTAAACGGTGTGTGCCAACTTTAATATCCTTGTCGTGACAGCCATTCATTGAGCATTTATGTGCTAGGCATGGTACACCTCCAATTTTTACAAGCGTTATTTCATTTACTTCTACTCAACTCGATGGAATTTGTGCCGCTACTATCCCAGTTTACAGATGAGAAAACTGAGGTTCGGAGAGTGAAGGGGCAAATAGCTGGTGCAGAGGCAGCGGCGGGTGAGAAGCGGCAGGTTGGATGCACGCACGAGCAGCCTAGTGGGTGTGGGGGCGCCGCAGTGAGCACACACACCCCTCACTCCTTTTCTAAAGCAGCTCTTTGCCACACACCATGCCGATTACAGTGGCAATCGGGGGTCTTTGCTCCTCATCCAGACTGTTAGGGTTTGAGTCGGGCAAGTGGCAATGAGCCACTGTCTGCCATTGTTCCGTTCCTCTGTTCTTGCCTTCACTCATTTAACACACACTCATCGAGAGCCTGGATTTGGCCGGGGCCTGGGTGAGGTGCTGAACTAAAAGAATGAATGAGGCTGGGTATCTGCTTAGGGGTTGTTCCAAGTGGATGGGTTCCTGAGCACTGGGGTGTCTGTGGCTGACTCTGTGACTCTCCCACTCCCTGTGTTTGGTGTCCCAGGAGCCTCCAGCAGGGGCAGGATCCACGATTCAGCCTGTGATCAGCCTGGTGGGTGTGGGGGCAGGGCTTTGAAAGCATCTTAGGGTCTGAACACTGTTGTCTGTTGTCTTCCCCAGTTCACGCGTGGTGTGCTTGCTCGGTGGGCCCCAGGAGCCCTCGTTGGCCCACGTAGGCCTTCATCTTTGCAAGGCCTTTCTCTGCAGGATGTTGTTACATCTTGCCTTCTCTGCAGTTTCAATATAAACGCCCCTCGGGAACAAGTTTGTCTCTGTTCCCATTTGCAGACCCTTGGGGACCTGCTGCAGTTGGCAAATAAGCTCCTCCTCCTCCTGAACATCCCTCCTTCCCTCTCAGACACCCTCCTGCAGTGTGTCGTTGTGGTGAAAAATACGCAAATAACTTTGAAAAACAGAAACAGTCTCCCAGCAAATGGGTTTTCAAACATGTAATAAATTAACCCCATAATGTCATCTGGGCCCCTCGACCATCCATCATGCTGATGTGATTAAGATATGAAAAGCCAGATGCCGCAGAGCCGTGTGGATGGGAGTGACAGATGAGTTTCCACAGCGCGCCCCTGCAGCCCCCTGCCTCCCCCACCCCCTGTGGAACCCAAGGCCACCAGAGGTTTAGGGGACATCCATCCAGCCTCTTCATTTCAGGAATGAGAAAGGGCCTCTTTGGGGTTAGGGGTCAGGTCACTTCGAATCCCTCATCTGTCTCCCGCCTGCTTTCCTCTGCGTAGGGCTGACTCTGAATACAAAGCCCCACACCCAGGCACTTTTACCTTTGGGTTTTGACAAAGTGGGTTCCCCAGTGTCTAACAAGGGCTGTTGGGACCTCAGTCTCCCAGGTGGGAAAATGTTAAGTGTTGGGTTGTATGTCCTCCAAGGTTTCTCTGGAGCTCTTGAGCTGTGTGTCAGGAGACCTTTGGGTGGCTTGCACTGCGTCCTCTTAGGGCAGAGGGCTGGGGCTGTGGGCCCACGGAAGGGGGGCCTGGCACAAGCCCCATGATGCTCCCACTATGCCCTGGGGACCTTTGACGACGAATTGCCTCCCTAAGACTGCCACTTCCTGTCACCAGTGAAAAAGCTACTTGAACAGCCTCCAGAAAGAGGCGATGAAGGACCCTCACTTCCCTAGTGGCCAAAGCATCACAATGATTAAATCTCGAGCCAGGGGACACCTACCAGCCAGTGAGCAGCTTGGCTGCCCCTGTGTGAAAGTGGTCCTCTCACACATGGCATGATGGGGCCAGAGTCTCCATGTCTCAAAAAGAGTTGCTGTGCCCCAGATGTGTTGCCAGGCACATCAACTCTTGAAATAAATCATCCACCCCTTTGGGTTAAGTGCTGCAGTTTTATGAAATGCAGACTTTTCCTTGGGAACAGCCCAAACCAGTTGTGGTGATTCCCATACTTTCTTGGGCATCAGGGCCCCTGGGGAGCTATTAAAGGGCCAGTACCATGCTGTGCACTCTGGCTGAACTGGTAGGTCTGGGAGGTCAGGGTTTCCAGTATTTAATAGGCTCCCCAGGGATTCAGATGCAGATTTCCAAGGACCCCTTTTGAGACCCGCTCTGCTGCATTACTGGCTTAATGGGCCAAGCTACACCTTCTCTCCTCTTGCCCCCACCCCATCGGAAGTGTGTAAATGAAGATTTGAAAGCTTCTGGGGTAAAGGGTCTCCCACATTCTTGGCTAGATCTGCACCCCCACAGATGGGTGTGGCTTCTGACAAGCTCTCAGAGGTCAGAGACAAGGTCCCTGGGCTTCTGGTTCCGACTTGGTTTTCCATAACTCCACAGCCATTTCTCTGATCGTAATTTCCCCACCTGTAAAAGAAAGGGGCTGAAAATAAGCTGAAGTCTGAACAGAAGTCAGAACTGGGTTTGTATTCCAACGGTGTGACTTTGGCAAAACAGAGAACATCTCTGTGCCTGTTTTACCATCTGTAAGTGGGGCTGTATAATGGGCGTTTAGCTCCTAGGGTTAATGAGGGAATTAAAGAAATCAGCGCGTGGCATATAATAAGTGCTCAATCCATGTTAGTAATTATTTTAACATGAATACCTTTCAGGAGCCCATGGGGGTGGGGAGGGGATGATCCCAGAGCTGAGTGGCAGAACGCGGCTCTGCGCGCCCCTCCCCCAATTGCTGTGTGACATTTTACTGCACCTCTACATCTCGTTGGCTCATTTGCAAAATGGGGACAATGAGAGTAACTCGCGTAGAATTGTTTTGAGAATTTAGTGATACGATCCATGTACACACAGTGCAGCGTCTGGCACACGGATGAGCCTTTATGAAGGCCAGCTATTGTTTTGATGCGTGGGCCCGGGAGGTTTTATCTTCTTGGGAGGTAAAGCCAGGCTGTACAGGTTCCGGGTGGGGGTGGTGGCATCCCAGGTGCACCCTCGTCCTCCCCCTTCTCCCCGCTCCGGAGCCGGCGGATTCGCTTTCGGTTGGGCGGCGGAGCCCGGGAACCGTGACTCCGGAACTAGCAGTAGATGTCGCTGTCCAGAGTTCCCAGCTGTGACCTCCATCTGGTTCGCACCAGCAGCACGTACCCACCTCCTTACCGCGCCTCCTAAAGTGAGTGAAATGTCCTGGAGAAGAAGATTCGTAGCGGTCTGGCGTGGAGGCCGAAGTTGTCTTCTATCGCGCCCACTCAAAATTGAAACCAGGCGGGTTAGCGCAGTGCCGTCCCATTCCGGCCGCCGGGGCTCTCCGGCCCCGAGGCTGGCCCCGCCTCTTCCGCCCCCGCCCCCGCCTCGGCCGCGGGGGGGGGCGGGGGGGAGTAGGCGTGGCTCGAAGCGCGCTCCAGGACCCGCCGCGGCGCCACGGACGTCACGTAGCGGCGCACCGACCGCGCAGATCGAGCTGGGTGTGCGAGTGGCTGGGTCCGTGGTTCCCCGCGCGGGGGCTGGGCCTCGAGCTGGCCACCGAGGCCACAGCCGGTACTAGGGGAGGGGAGAGGGGCGGGATTCCCTACGGGGAGGGGTTCGGCCATGGAGAGGGTGGAGCCTTATTGCAGCCGAGTTTCTCCTCTCGCGTGTCCCGCGTTCCGCTCCCCGCCCTACGCATCCTGCGGTTATCTCTGCGGTCCTTTTTGCCCGCACAGCTCTGGCCTTTCTTACCACCCGCCACGAGACGTTTGGTGAAGTGCCAGTGAAAGCTGGCTGATCGAGGGGCAGCTGATGCCCCGAGCTGTGACGCCAGTGTTGGGGGTCTTTCGCGGCCGCCCTGCTTCTGTGTTCTGGGGAGTCCTGCCCTAGTTCCCTTAGGAGGAGGGGAGGGGGCGTTGAGGCGGGCGGGTCCTGTGGCTGACTGGACATTTGGAACAACCCCCTCTCCTGTCCCACCCCTAGGAGGCGGGAAGGATGACTACACTCACACGACAGGATCTCAACTTTGGCCAAGGTAGGGATGCTGGGCCTGCCTACTTAGGGGCGAGGGAGGGCCTGGGCCGGCGGGCTTTCCAGAGCACACTGGGTTCTGTCCCCTCGCAGTGGTGGCCGATGTGCTCTGTGAGTTCCTGGAGGTGGCCGTGCACCTGATCCTCTACGTGCGCGAGGTCTACCCGGTGGGCATTTTCCAGAAGCGAAAGAAGTACAACGTGCCTGTCCAGGTGAGTTCCCACAGCCGGCTGGGAGCCACTGGGTCACACCCTAATTACAGAGTAGGTGGAGAGTGGATTTTAAAATTCTTTCCCACCGTCAGGCCCAGCCTCCTTTCTGCAGCGGAGGGGGTCTTGCCTCCCAGGTCCTTGCAGCTGCTGGTAGCCACTCCCACCCCTCCTTGCAGTAGTTCAGCTACTTCCATCCCCTCGGAACTGGGAGTTCCCCTCCAGACGTTAGGGACCAGGCCTTCGGATTAGAGTTGCCTTGGGGCATGATTATACTGGAAGAGTTCCTGAAACAGCTGGTCAGTGGTTGGTTTGGGGATTCCTGTAAACCTCAGGCACCTTCTTCCTGCCCTCACTTACCCTAATTGCAGGTTAAAAAGGAGACAAAGCCATACACTACTCAACTCCCAGTCTCTAGCAGTGCCTGCCCCTTGGAAGGCACGCAGTAAACATTGGAATCAATGACTGGATCCTGGAAGGCGGTGGAAGCTTCAAGGGCGTACAGGGAAAGGAAAAGCGAACAGCACTTACTGAGTACCCCTGAGATACATCTCATATTTAATTCTCAGTTTTTCTTTGAGATCTTCACGGATAAAGTTTATTAAAGCTCAGAGAAGTAATTCGCCTGAGGCCACACAGCTCCTTAGCTCCAGATTCTTCACTTTGGAAAACTGATTACATTTCTGGATCCCTTCTCTGGAATAATGCCCACATGCCCAAATACATACCATTTAGGGCTTTCTTCAGACTCTGGAGGAGCCAAAGGACCCTACGTTAGGAAACTCGAATGCTAAGTGCTGATGTTGAGATGAAATTCTTATCCTCTAACTCATCCCCTCCTGTGGATAACTCAGTTCTTTCTTCACCCCATGATGGGAAGTCAGTATCCTTGGTGGGAGGCTCCAGGGAACTGCCGGGCCTCTCTCCAAAGGCAGACAGACAGGGCCTGGGCTCCTGGCGGGGATGGTGGGCGTCCCCCGCTGGTGCCGCGGGCCTCACCGGCCGTCACGGCATCGTGTGCAGATGTCCTGCCACCCGGAGCTGAACCAGTACATCCAGGACACGCTGCACTGTGTGAAGCCGCTTCTGGAGAAGGTGAGCCCCCGGCCCCCCTCATCCCCGCTGTGGGGTGGCGTCATGCTGGGCCCAGGAGCTCTGGCTGGTGGATGGTTCTGTGAGCGGGGCCTCCCTGGGAGGGTTCTGGGTTCTCACGCCTGTTTCTCACTCCCACCGCCGAGTTCTGCCGGGGCTCCGCCCCTTGGGGTTTCCTCCTCCTGTCTCGTCCTGCTCTCTGAGATGTCCTAGGACCCCCTAAGGGACCCAGTGGTCTCTCCCCTCAGCCTGTACCACTCCTGTCTGGGAGTACCTACTTGAACTCCTCAGACTTCTCTGGGCTCTTGGGGACCCTCGGCCTAGGGGCTGTGAGTGTGCCCTTCCCATTCCTTCCTTGGGCGGGGGCGGTGGTGGGTGGGGCCCACTTCTGGAGTAGGGGGTTCCTGTCCTTGCAGAACGATGTGGAGAAAGTGGTGGTGGTGATTTTGGACAAAGAGCACCGTCCAGTAGAGAAGTTCGTCTTTGAAATCACCCAGCCTCCACTGCTGTCCATCAGGTGAGCGGCCGCCCCGCCGTCCCCCTGCTGATGGTGTGAGGTCCCTAGGAATGCCCTTGCATCGCCCCTTTAAGGCAGCTCCTAGTACCTTGGAAAAATGCAGGGTGTGCCAGCCTAACAGGCAGGCCGCCAAGTGGTCCTGGGACGTCACACAGGTTACACAGAGGTTCTCCTCTGTTGTGCCTGGAAAACCATGGCGCTGGCGGACGGCTAATCCCAGCCTCATCTTACAGAGCTGGAGGAACTGAGGTCCAGAGGAGTAACATGAACTATCCAGGGTCTCCCACATGGTGGCAGAGCCAGGCCAAGACCCAGTGTCTTAACTTCCCAGTCAAGTGGTATATAGTCCGCGGTCAACTAGAAGTTGACCTTGGGCAGGAATGCTGGCGGGTCGGCTGCTGGCTTCCTGTGGTGAGATCAGGACAATAAAATCCGTCCCTGTCCTAGTCCGGCCTTGGGCAAGCCCTTCCCCCTCAGGCTTGGGGCCCTGGTTCCCAGCCTGAGGGGTGCGGTGGGGGGATGTCAGCATATAGGAGCCACCTGTAGGGAATCCCTTCCCTCCTTTCCCCCATCCTGACTTTTAATCAGTCTGGGGTGGGGCTCTGCGTTGGTTTTAAACTTCCCAGAGGATAGGTAGCCAGGCTCTTAGAAGCCAAAACTCTCAGAAGGACTAGAGGGTCCCTGGAGCCCCTGGTTTGCTTCCCGGGCTGCCTGCTTGCGGGCGCGGGGGGGGGAGGGGGCACCTGTGCGACCGGAGGCCCTCCCCTCCCCTCCAGCTCAGACTCCCTGCTGTCGCACGTGGAGCAGCTGCTCCGAGCCTTCATCCTGAAGATCAGCGTGTGCGACGCTGTCCTGGACCACAACCCCCCAGGTGTGCCCCCCGCCTGCGGCCTTCTCCCTGGGTCTTCCCGTGGCTGCCTTGGGTTGGTCTGTGTTCTCGAGTCCCCTCCTGCCATTCAGAACCCCTTTGAAAGTCCACTTCCTCCAGGAGGCTTCCCTGGCTGACGCCACCCTGGCTTCGGTCTGCCTGCTGACCGTGTCTTAACGTTTGGTTTCCACTCCGACCTGTGGGGCTGCTGAGCTAGCCGGGGAGGTGGGAAGAGACCGAGCCGAGTGGCAGGCGTGGTGTGGCCCGGGCGTGACCAAACGCTCCTCTCTTCAGGCTGTACTTTCACAGTCCTGGTGCACACGAGGGAGGCCGCCACTCGCAACATGGAGAAGATCCAGGTCATCAAGGTGAGATGACGCTGGTCTGGGCTGGCGGGCAGGGGGACAGCTGGGAGGCTCTGATGAGCAGATGCCACACTTCCAAGTGGGCGGGGTGCTGCCCGTGGCCACCACACTGATCACATGGCGTGTGACAGGGCTTGGCACCCGGGCGGCTCCCTCTGGGTGTTAACTGTGTGGCCACAGGCCTGCCATTGTCAGCCCCGAGGGAGGGGTGGGGCCGAATGCTGGTGATTTTGGTGGGGGTTCTCCAGGGCGGGGGTTCCTTGCTCACCAGTTTCAGAGTTGGTGCTTAGGGCTTATTAAGTTACTTGGGTTCCCGGCCCAGGTCTGACCTACAGACCCACCCTGTCCTGTGGAGGAGCCTGGGAATCTGCCCTGCCCTGGCGATTCTGAGGCTCCCCAAAGTCTGAGGACCCCAGCGCTGGGGGCAGAGAGCCAAGGGAGGGCAGTCCAGGGTCCAACCCCCCTTCCCTCCTCCCCTCGATTCCTTCCCCAGGACTTCCCCTGGATCCTAGCAGATGAGCAGGACGTCCACATGCATGACCCCCGGCTGATACCCCTAAAGACCATGACGTCGGACATCCTGAAGGTGAGCTGTGTGGCCACTGGGTACGCTTTATTTGGGGTGTGCTAAGGCCTTGTGCGCAAGGCTGGGGGGCACTTGCAGGGAGTGCTGGTGTAAGGCTCCTCCCACGCCCCTCTCCCTTCAATTCTGGCTGTGGCCGTGCACCCCGACCCTTGGCACAGGGCCGCCTGCCAGGGGCTTGTGGGCTCACCACTCAGGTGCCCCGACGGGGCCGTCCCCCGACGTGGTCATTTGTTCCTGTCCATCAGATGCAGCTCTACGTGGAAGAACGAGCCCATAAAAGCAGCTGAGGGTGTGTCTGCCCCCCCGCCCGTCCCCCGCAGATGCCACAGCTGTCGGACTTTGGGGGCCCTCAGCCTCAGGCAGCGCCGCAGGGCGCCCCTGATTCCAAGTGCTCTTATTGCCTCTGTGTATGGATGGCTCGCCCTCCAGCTCGGGCTGGCTGTCTGCACGGAGGAACTTCCCCAGAAGGGCAGGAAGGCTGTGGGACCTGCATGCCTCGGCCCCCGGGGTTTCTCCGGCCAACGCTGCCTCAAACACTGTGCTGTGAGTTGTTTGAATAAAGGGCCCCAAGGGCCGACCTGGGCTCTTACCACCTGCAGCAGGAGGGACAGATGCAGCCAAGTTCACCTGGGGCAAGGGCCACTTCCCTGTCAAAGTGCCAGGGACCCCAACCCCCCACTCCTACACCCAACCCAGGCTGGTTTTACTGAAAACATTTCTTAAAAAAAACTCAGCGCTATATTGAACAGTAAGTTGTAACAGAAAGTTAGGAAAATCTGGTGGGGTTGCCCAAGGTTAGGACTGTGGCAGGAGGTCCCTGGGCTGGCAGGAACAGAGGAAGGATAAGCAGCTGTCAGATGACAGACTGCCAGGAGGTCTTGTAGAATGGGGCAGGGGAGGGTAGGTCCGCATGTCCTCCCGCCGCTACCTGGGCCTGGGCGGGCCCGTGGAGGACGCCGGGTTCCTGGTGACCTTGGGGCTGATGACGATGCTGCTGTTGGTGACGCGCGGCCCGTACCAGCCTGCCCAGAACTGGGTGTCTTTGCCCCCGTGCTGGAAGAGGATGTGGCGGACGCCCCGGGGGTAGTCCGAGAAGGTGTGGGTGACCTGAAGGGAGGGCAGAGGAAGTGACGACCAGGATGGGGAGGGCAGGAGCTCCAGGTGGCAGCGCCGGGGGAGGTGCAGGCCCTGGCAGAAGTGGGTGGCAGGCGAGCCGTGGAGGCCTCACCTCTGTCCACGTGGCATCGTTCCACTGAGGGATGGTCACGGGTGGGGGCTCGAAGGAGGCCAAGACGATGTAGTCGGCCGAGAGCAGCTGCACTCGGATGCTGTAGGTGCAGCCGCAGTCTGCTCTGGCAGCGAACCTAGGCGAGGGCGGGGCTCAGGACTGTGCACCCCAGACAAAGGGTGGCCTCGTGGGGGACCGGCAGCAGGACTGCACATTGGAGCTCTTGAGGTCCATTTCCTGTGCAGCCCACGAGGCCCACCCTCCGCACTCCCTGGACCCCAGGAAGCAGTCTGCTTGGGCTGGGCCTCAGTTTCTGTGTCTGAGCAAAGGGCGACCCTTTTGGGATTTCAGAGATGAGTTCGCCTTAAAAGGCAGAGCACAGAGATGACGGCCCAGGCAGTGGGAGCGGTGTCACCTGCAGGCTGCCGGGGGCCGGGCTGTGGCCTCCGTGGGGGGTTGAGGGAGCGGTGGCCTGGGCAGTCGGGGCTGACACAGAGCTCGCCCTCCACTCAGCCCCGCTGTTCCCGCCCGACCCCCCGCAGCTCTGTCCGCCCGTCCTTCCCTGCCCTCCGCCCTCAGAGGGCTGGCCCCGCCTATGACGGGGTCCTGCTTCTGCCATGGGCCAAGTCAGAGCCTGGCACAGCTGTGTCCAGAGGAGGAACGTGAGAGGCGTGGGCTGCACGGGGGCCAGGGCGGGGAGGCAGACAAGGCACGTGAGCACCGTGCGGTCCAGGGAGGCTGGAGCTTGGCTGTCTGTTGCTGCAGTGCCTGTTCGTGACACCTCATCTGTGGGCCTCAGTCTGCCCATCTGTAAAGTGGGGTCGGTGTCCACTGCGAATAGGGTGGTGGGGAGGCGGGAAGGTGCTACGTGATGAGCAAGTGCCGGGTCTGGCAATGGGGAGGGGGTGGCCTGGCTTGGGGCGGCCCCTGCCGCAGGACGCTACGGGGCACAGAACAGGCACTCCCCCAGGCTTCCTCAGGACTAGTGGAGGATGCAGAACTCGGGGCCCCCGCTGCACTCACCAGTCTGTCACCACAATGTCAGGCCGGTACTCATCCATCAGCCCCTCCCAGTAGCCCTCGGCTTTGAGGTTCACCACCTGGGACTTGCGGCAGAGGCTAGGGAGCAGGAGGAGAGGCTTGTACTCCCAGATGCGCTCTGCATGGCCCGGACCGGGGAGATGCCTCAGGGGACCCAGCAGTATCTCCTGACCACTGCAGGGCAGCTGCTGGCTGGTGCTGACTCTGGCTCCTAGCTCGGTGTAGACCCGTAAGACACATGCAGGGAGTCTGACCCCTTTGAGCCTGGGGGGCATCTGATCCCAGTCCCTAGGCCCAGTCTCCCGGGGCCCCAGGGAACCCACCCTCCCAGGTTAGGGACAGCCTGTAGACACCCTGACAGCCTAACTGGCCCACGGGCTCCCGGCCTCCTCATTGGGTGTCCACCCCCAGTCAGAGCTGACTCTGCCCCAGGAGGCTGTTGGCTGCCAGCCGCACAGAGCCCCTGAGGAGGTTGGCCTGGGGTTTGGCAAAAGGTGTCCTGACCCTCCTGCCCACAACCCAGCCTGCTCGGGACAATGTGTCTTACCGGTAGGATGTGACGAAGTAGTTCCTGACTTGGGGGCTGGGGAAGTCTGTGCCACAGGCTCCAGGCAAGCTCTCCACGTTCCACTCGTCGCCCCCATTGGCGTCGATATGCCAGGCTGCCATACCCTCTGCAAGAGACAGGAGCTGTGTAAACGAAACCGCGCAGCCTGGCCCTCCCCATGTGGTCCTGGGAGGGAGGGGGAAGGGGGCGCTGAATGGCAGGGCCTGCTCACACTCTCAGATCCAAAGCTGTGTCCCCCCTACACCTGGGAACACCCCTACAAAGCTCAGCTCCTCCAGCCCATTCCCACCTGTCCCCAGGGAACCGCTTCTGATCTGGGACCCGCCCCCCCTGCTGTGTCCTTGACTAGCTGGACTCCTCACGTGAGGCTGGGGCAAAACGTCACCTTTTCTCCCTTCCATGCGGCTGAGGATCTCCTGGAAACACCCAGGTTTCAGTTCTCAGAACTATACATTAGGATGACACCTTCATTCTTTTTAATATTGATGATGATCTTTTTAATTAAAGATTTTACTTATTTTAGAGAGAGGAGGAGGGAGGGGGAAAGAGAGGGAGAGAAACACTGATGTGCAAGAGAAACATGGATCGGTTGCCTCTGAAATGCCCTCCAACTTGGGGACGTGGCCTGCAACCCAGGCATGTGCCCCGACAGGGAATCGAACAGGGGAACTTCCGGTTTGCAGGTGGACACTCAGTCCACTGAGTCCCACCGGCCAGGGTGCTACTTCCGTTCCCAGTAGATCATGTGAGTGTATCCCAATGGGACAACTGATATTGCCCCTAGTGTCCTACCCATGTCACCCGGACCTAAGGGACGTGAGGACCATTGTCGGCCAGCAGGTTCTAGTCTCCCTCTTCAGACTGAGCTGAGAAGCCCTTCACACAACAAGGAACAAAGCGTTCTCACCAAGGCCCTCCAGAACTAGCACCAGGGGAGCTTTCCCAGACCCCTCCCTTGCTTCCTCTACAGGGTCCCAATCCACACCCACCACCCAGGGGCCTAGGGCCTGTACAGGGCAGAGGCAGACGGGCAGCACAGGCGGCCAGGAGCTGGGCTGCACCGAGCTGCGTGAGCCAATCTGGTGGCCTGGCTGGACAGCTTGAGGGGACCCTGGGAGGTGGACGGGGAGCTCTGAGTGTGGGGCCACTGGCTATGGGGGTGCTGAGGGGCCCGAGGGCCTTCAGCAGCTGCGTGTTTCTGGGTCTCCCGGTCAGACACCCATCCTGACCGGGCCTAATGTTCCCACCTGCACCCTGCAGCCGGCCTGCCTTAATGGGCAGCCCCTGGGACCAGGGTGAGAGGGACTCCAAGTACACACACAGTGCCTCTTAGTCAGTTGTTGCTGTAGCCCCTACAAGGGGCACGGTGCCTGGTACGTAGTAGGTGGCTGCATGTAGGGGAAAAACCCTAGCGAGCACAGGATAAACAGGGACCTCAAATCTTGTGACGGCAGCCACCTCTCAAAAGCCTCCTTTTCGTCATCCACAAAATGGCGATAAGGCAGGCAGTCACTCTTGGGAAGAGCTCAGGACAGTGCCTGACACAGAAGCAGCCCCCACGGACCTCAGGCAGCTCGGACTGAGCGAAGGGGGAGGGTGGACCTGCGGTTGGTTCATCCTCTCGAGCACCTGCCGTGTGAAGGTGCTGTGGACGCTGGATGTACAGAGACAAGCAGGAAGTTTGTGAGAAAGAAAAGAGCTGAAAAGGTACTTCTAGGGTATGAACAGGTCTAAGAAGGAACTGGATGGAGGTGGAAGGACAGAGGTAGGGAACACTGCTTTCAGATGGGCCAGGCCAGGTCCCCGAACTGAGGCCTCAAGAACGAAGAGGAACCGAGGGAGCACGGTGGGTGCTAGGTTCTGAGTGGACACTCTGGGTAGTGTGGGCATAGCAAGTGCAAAGGTCCTGAGGTTAGCCCACCTTCTGCACACGGGTTGCGCAGGAGGTTCCTGCGGAAGATGCACAAAAAATAGAAGCTCTTCCAGTCTGCCACCGGCTGGTCCCAGTCCTCGGTGAAGAAGCCGTCACGCAGGCTCTTGAGTTTCCACAGGGTCACCGTGTCGATGAGGTCGCGCCAGAGGCTGCAGACGGGTCGGCAGCGCAGCACCAGCTGCCGGGCGGGCACGTGCGTGAGCACCTCCAGCAGGACGGTCTCTGGCAGCAGCTCGTTGATGCTGAGCAGGGCCCTGGCGCGGGTGCGGCGAGGTGGGCGCATGGGTGGAAGTCTGCACACCAGGGGACTGTGTGGGGGCAAGGGGGGGAGCGTGACAATGGTCAGAGTGCAGACCAGGGAGGTGGCCGCCTCAGATCGCCAGCGTCCCAGACAGGGACCCCTGATCCTGCTTCTGTTGTGAAGCGGGAGGTTAAGACCAAAGTGCTTGAGCAGCCTTCCAGTTCACAGGAGACCCTCAAACTACAGACTAAGTTTTTAAAATGGGTTTCACGGGGGTGGGGAGAGAAAAGGAGAGAAACATCGATTTCCTGTTCTACTTACGAATGCATTCATTGGTTGCTTCTTGCATGTGCCCTGACCCGGGATGGGGGATCGAACCCGCAACCTTGCTGTAACTGGGTGGCAGTAACCAACTGAGATACCTGGCCAGAGCCGGACTAATTTTTTATGAGGCCTTCCCCCCATTACAAGAAATAATTGCTTAATTTTAAGTTGGTGCACAGTAAGAGTTTGCCAATGCCACAGTGCCGTCTGGGAGCTCGGTAAGGGTTTGTGCTGGTGTTTTAGCGTTGTGAACTCACTGTTCTCAAATCTTGATTACCGTGTCACACCTGACTAAGCGCCGAGGCTGCTAGCACCGAGGAATGAAGTGCGTGCTTCGGCTCGGAGGCCAGGTGTGATAAGCACCCCCGTGAGCGCGCCCCTTCCCTCCTGGGTGGTGGTCAGGCCAGAGCCCCTGTGAAAGGCCCAGAACCCGAAAAGCACTTCTGGGGCCGTGAGCGAGGCTGCCCGGGTTTGAAGCCTGGCCTGCAGTGACTCACTTTGAAGCTGTGACAAGGAGGTGACAAGTGTCCCACCTCAGAGGGACGGGAAAAACTAAGAAAAGCATTTGGCAGAACAGTTGTTCACTTCCACCACTGGGCCAAAACCAAAAGCAAATGGAAGTGCGCAGTTGTAGAGCCCCCCAGTTTCCAGGAAGGCTTCCCTCCCCCCACATCTGAACTGCACAAGGGTGTTGACTCTGGGGGGCCTGGTAAGGCAGCTGTCCTAGGGGGTCCCCCAAGTGGCGGGGTGGGGAGGGAACTTCCTGCCCCCACACAGAAGCACAGGGAAGGTTCTTTAGGGTGTGCTGAGGCCTTGTGGGCAAGGCTGGGGGGCACTTCCAGGGAGTGCTGGTGTAAGGCTCCTCCCACGCCCCCCTCCCTTCACTTCTGGCTGTGGCCGTGCACCCCGACCCTGGCACAGGGCCACCTGCCAGGGGCTTGTGGGCTCACCACTCAGGTGCTCCGACGGGGCCGTCCCCCGATGAGGTCGTTTGTTCCTGTCCACCAGATGCAGCTCTACAAGGAAGAACAAGCCCATAAAAGCAGCTGAGGGTGTGTCTGATCCCCCGCCCGTCCCCGGCAGATGCCACAGCTGTCAGACTTTGGGGACCCTCAGCCTCGGGCAGCGCTGCAGGGCGCCCCTGATTCCAAGTGCTCTTATTGCCTCTGTGTATGGATGGCTCGCCGTCCAGCTCGGGCTGGCTGTCTGCATGGAGGAACTTCCCCAGAAGGGCAGGAAGGCTGTGGGAACTGCATGCCTCGGCCAACACTGTCTCAAACACTGTGCTGTGAGTTGTTTGAATAAAGGGCCCCAAGGGCCAACTTGGGCTCTTAGCACCTGCAGCGGGAGGGACAGATGCAGCCAAGTTCACCAGGGCAAGGGCCCCTTCTCTGTCAAAGTGCCAGGGATCCCAACCCCCCAGCCCCCAATCGTACACCCAGCCCAGGCTGGTTTTACTAAAAACAATTATGAAGAAACGGCAGAGGTACATTCAACAGTAAGTTGTAACAGAAAGTTAGGACGATCTGGTGGGGTTGCCCAAGGTTAGGACTGTGGCAGGAGGTCCCTGGGCTGGCAGGCACAGAGGCCGGATAAGCAGCTGTCAGATGACAGACTGCCAGGAGGGCCTGTAGAATGGGGCAGGGGGTGGGGGGGTCTGCATGTCCTCCACCCCTACCTGGGCCCTTGCAGGCCCATGGAGGGCGCTGGGTTCCTGGTGACCTTGGGGCTGATGACGATGCTGCTGTTGGTGACACGCGGCCCGTACCAGCCTGCCCAGGACTGGGTGTCTTTGCCCCCGTGCTGGAAGAGGATGTGGCGGACGCCCCGGGGGTAGTCCGAGAAGGTGTGGGTGACCTGGAGGGAGGGCAGAGGAAGTGACCACCAGGATGGGGAGGGCAGGAGCTCCAGGTGGCAGCGCCGGGGGCGGTGCAGGCCCTGGCAGAAGTGGGTGGCAGGCGAGCCGTGGAGGCCTCACCTCTGTCCACGTGGCATCGTTCCACTGAGGGATGGTCACGGGTGGGGGCTCGAAGGAGGCCAAGGCGATGTTGTCGGCCGAGAGCAGCTGCACGCAGATGCTGTAGGTGCAGCCGCAGTCTGCTCTGGCAGCGAACCTAGGCGAGGGCTGGGCTCAGGACTGTGCACCCCAGACAAAGGGTGGCCCCGTGGGGGGCCGGCAGCAGGCCTGCACATTGGAGCTCTTGAGGTTCATTTCCTGTGCAGCCCATGAGGCCCTCCCTCCGCACTCCCTGGACCCCGGGAAGCAGTCTGCTTGGGCTAGGCCTCAGTTTCTGTGTCTGAGCAAAGGGCGACCCTTTTGGGGATTTCAGTGATGAGTTCGCCTTAAAAGGCAGAGCACAGAGATGACGGCCCAGGCAGTGGGAGCGGTGTCACCTGCAGGCTGCCGGGGGCGGGGCTGTGGCCTCCTCGGGGGGGTTGAGGCAGCGGTGGCCGGGGTGTCGGGGCTGACACAGAATTTGATCTCCACTCAGCCCCGCTGTTCCCGCCCGACCCCCCGCAGCTCTGTCCCCCCCCCGACCATCCCTGCCCTCCGCCCTCAGAGGGCTGGCCCTGCCTGGGACGGGGGTCCTGCTTCTGCCATGGGCCAAGTCAGAGCCTGGCACAGCTGTGTCCAGAGGAGGAACGTGAGAGGCGTGGGCTGCACGGGGGCCAGGGCGGGGACGCAGACAAGGCACGTGAGCACCGTGAGGTGCAGGGAGGCTGGAGCTTGGCTGTCTGTTGCTGCAGTGCCTGTTCGTGACACCTCATCTGTGGGCCTCAGTCTGCCCATCTGTAAAGTGGGGTCGGTGTCCACTGCGAACAGGGTGGTGGGGAGGCGAGAAGGTGCTACGGGATGAGCAAGTGCCGGCTCTGGCAATGGGGAGGGGGTGGCCTGGCTGGGGGCGGCCCCTGCCGCAGGACACTACCGAGCATAGAACAGGCATTCCCTGCGGCGTCCTCAGGACGAGCGGAGAATGCAGAACTCAGGGCCCCAGCCACACTCACCAGTCCGTCACCACAATGTCAGGCCTGACCTCGTCCATCAGCTCCTCCCAGTAGCCCTTGGCTTTGAGGTTCACCACCTGGGACTTACGGCAGAGGCTAGGGAGTAGGAGAAGAGGCTTGCACTCCCAGGTGCGCTCTGCATGGCCCGGACCCGGGAGGTGCCTCAGGGGACCCAGCAGTGTCCCCTGACTGCTGCAGGGCAGCTGCTGGCTGGTGCTGACTCTGGCTCCTAGCTCGGTGTAGACCCGTAAGACACATGCCGGGAGTCTGACCCCTTTGAGCCTGGGGGGCATCTGATCCCAGTCCCTAGGCCCAGTCTGCCGGGGCCCCAGGGAATCCACACTCCCAGGTTAGGGACAGCCTGTAGACACCCTGACAGCCTAACTGGCCCACGGGCTCCCGGCCTCCTCATTGGGTGTCCACCCCCAGTCAGAGCTGACTCTGCCCCAGGAGGATGTTGGCTGCCAGCCGCACGGAGCCCCTGAGGAGGTTGTCCTGGGGTTTGGCAAAAGGTGTCCTGACCCTCCTGCCCACAACCCAGCCTGCTCGGGGCAATGTGTCTTACCGGTAGGATGTGACGAAGTAGTTCCTGACTTGGGGGCTGGGGAAGTCTGTGCCACAGGCTCCAGGCAAGCTCTCCACGTTCCACTCGTCGCCCCCATTGGCGTCGACATGCCAGGCTGCCATACCCTCTGCAAGAGACAGGAGCTGGGTAAACTAAAATGCGCAGCCTGGCCCTCCCCATGTGGTCTTGGGAGGGAGGGGGAAGGGGGCGCTGAAAGGCAGGGCCTGCTCACACTCTCAGATCCCAAGCTGGGCCCCCCTGCACCTGGGAACACCCCTACAAAGCTCAGCTCCTGCAGCCCATTCCCACCTGTCCCCAGGGAACCACTTCTGATCTGGGACCCGCCCCCCCTGCTGTGTCCTTGACTAGCTGGACTCCTCACGTGAGGCTGGGGCAAAACGTCACCTTTTCTCCTTTCCATGCTGCTGAGGATCTCCTGGAAACACCCAGGTTTCGGTTCTCAGAACATTACATTAGGATGACACCTTCGATATTTTTTAATATTGATGATCTTTTTAAATTAAAGATTTTACTGATTTTGGGGGGGGGGAAGAGAGGGAGAGAAACACTGATGTGCAGGAGAAACTTGGATCGGTTGCCTCTGACATGCCCACCAACTTGGAGACGTGGCCTGCAACCCAGGCATGTGTCCCGACAGGGGATCAAACAGGGGAACTTCCGGTTTGCAGGTGGACACTCAGTCCACTGAGTCCCACCAGCCAGGGTGCTACTTCCGTTCCTAGTGGCTCATGTGAGTGTGTCCCAATGGGACAACTGACATTGTCCCCAGTGTCCTAACCACGTCACCAGGACCTGAGGGGCGTTACGACCGTTTACAGGTTTGTGGGTGGGTCCCAGGAAACCTCTGCCCGGGTGGGAGGGGTAACAGCTGGGAGAACAGGACTCCTCTGGGTGGGTGGGGTGCAGTGGCCCCCCATTTGCAGAAGGGTTCCCACCAGCTCGGGTAGCAGGTTCCAGTCTCCCTCTTCAGACTGAGCTGAGAAGCCCTTCACACAACAAGGAACAGCGGGTTCTCCCCAAGGCTCTCCAGAACCAGCACCAGGGGCGCTTTCCCAGACCCCTCCCTTCCTTCCTCTATAGGGGCCCGCTCCACACCCACCACCCAGGGGCCTAGGGACTGTGCAGGGCAGAGGCAGACGGGCAGCACAGGCGGCCAGGAGCTGGGCTGCACCGAGCTGTGTGAGCTGAGCTGGTGGCCTGGCTGGGCAGCTTGAGCGGGACCAGGGGCGGGGGGCGGGGAGCTCTGAGTGTGGGGCCACTGGCTATGGGGGTGCTGAGGGGCCCAAGGGCCTTCAGCAGCTGGGCGTTTCTGGGTCTCCCAGTCAGACACCCGTCCTGATCTGGGCCTAATGTTCCCACCTGCACCCTGCAGCCGGCCTGCCTTAATGGGCAGCCCCTGGGACCCAGGTGAGAGGGATTCCAAGTACACACACAGTGCCTCTTAGTCAGTTGTTGTTGTAGCCCCCACAAGGGGCAAGGTGCCTGGTACGTAGCAGGTGGCTGCATGAAGGGGAAAAACCCTAGCGAGCACAAGATAAACAGGGACCTCAAATCTTGTGACGGCAGCCACCTCTCAAAAGCCTCCTTTTCGTCATCCACATAATCGGGATAAGGGAGGCAGTCACACTTTGGAGGAGCTCAGGACAGTGCCTGGCACAGAAGCAGCCCCCACGGACCTCAGGCAGCTCGGACTGAGCGAAGGGGGAGGGTGGACCTGCGGTTGGTTCATCCTCTCGAGCACCTGCCGTGTGAAGGTGCTGTGGACGCTGGATGTACAGAGGCAAGCAGGAAGTTTGTGAGAAAGAAAGAGCTGAAAAGGTACTTCTAGGGTATGAACAGGTCTAAAAAGGAACTGGATCGAGGTGGAAGGACAGAGGTAGGGAACACTGCTTTCAGATGGGCCAGGCCAGGTCCCCGAACTGAGGCCTCAAGATGGAAGAGGGACCGAGGGAGCATGGTGGGTGCTAGGTTCTGAGTGGACACTCTGGGTAGTGTGGGCATAGGAAGTGCAAGGGTCCTGAGGTTCTGACAAGGAGCAGCCCACCTTCACCACATGGGTTGCGCAGGAGGTTCCTGCGGAGGATGCTCAAAAAATAGAAGCTCTTCCAGTCTGCCACCGGCTCGTCCCAGTCCTTGGTGATGAAGCCGTCACGCAGGCTCTTGAGTTTCCAGAGGGTCACCGTGTCGATGAGGTCGCGCCAGAGGCTGCAGACGGGTCGGCAGCGCAGCACCAGCTGTCGGGCGGGCACGTGCGTGAACACCTCCAGCAGGATCGGCATCGGCAGCAGCTTGTTGATGCTGAGCAGGGCCATGGCGTGGGTGCGGCGAGGTGTGCACATGGGTGGAAGTCTGCACACCAGGGGCCTGTGTGGGGGAGGGGAGGGGAGCGTGACATTGGTCAGAGTGCAGGCCAGGGAGGTGGCAGCCTTAGATCGCCAGGGTCCCAGACAGGGACCCCTGATCCTGCTTCTGTTGTGAAGCGGGAGGTTAAGACCAAAGTGCTTGAGCAGCCTTCCAGTTCACAGGAGACCTTCAAACTACAGACTAAGTTTTTAAAATGGGTTTGACGGGGGTGGGGAGAGAAAAGCAGAGAAACACCGATTTCCTGTTCTACTTACCAATGCATTCATTGGTTGCTTCCTGCATGTGCCCTGACCCGGGGTGGGGGATGGAACCTGCAACCTTGCTGTAACTGGGTGGCACTAACCAACTGAGATACCTGGCCAGAGCCGGACTAATTTTTTAAGAGGCCTTTCCCCCCCATTACAAGAAATAATTGCTTAATTTTAAGTTGGTGCACAGTAAGAGTTTGCCAATGCCACACTGCCGTCTGGGAGCTCGGTAAGGGTTTGTGCTGGTGTTTTAGCGTTGTGAACTCACTGTTCTCAAACCTCGATTACCGTGTCACACCTGACTAAGCGTCGAGGCTGCTAGCACTGAGGAAGAAAGTGCGTGCTTCGGCCCGGAGGCCAGGTGTGATGAGCACCCCCAAGAGCACGCCCCTTGCCCCCAGGGTGGTAGTCAGGCCAGAGCCCCTGTGAAAGGCCCAGAAACCGAAAAGCACTTCTGGGTCCGTGAGCGAGGCTGCCCGGGTTCGAAGCCTGGCCTGCAGTGACTCACTTGTGAGGCTGTCACAAGGAGGTGATAAGTGTCCTAGCCTCAGAGGGACGGGAACAGCTAAGAAAAGCATTTGGCAGAACATTTTCTTCACTTCCACCACTGGCCAGAAGTAAAAGCAAAACCGAAACCAAACCGAAATTCGCAGTCGTACAGTCGCCCCCCCCGCGCCACCCCCCCGCCCCCCATTTCCAGGAAGGCTTCCCTGCCCCCACATCTGAAATGCACAAGGGTGTTGACTCTGGGGGGCCTGGTAAGGCAGCTGTCCTAGTAGGTCCACCAGGTGGACAGGGTGGGGAGGGAACTTCCTGCCCCCACAGTGAGAAGCACGGGGAAGGCTGCTCGTGTCCCATAAAGACTGGGACACAGACGCAGGTCGCCATCTTCTCTATGCTCCTCTTTGCAGGGGCAGAGCAGAAGGGGGGTGGGCACACACACTCTGGCTCCTGCCCAGCGGACAGCGTTTTAGCACGGCAGAGAAAAACAAATATAAGTAAATCACTGTACAATCGCTATGCAAAATACTGTGACGATTAAACACTCACGTGGCCAGATCTAATTTTTCAGGAGGAACTGTGAACATTTCCTAATCATGAAACCTGTGAGTTTTTAAATGTGGTCCACTTCTAAAAGCACTGTCCAGGACCGAGACACCCCGCAAGGGTGTCCAACCTTGGCATCTCTGGGCCACGCTGGAAGAAGAAGAGTTGTCTTGGGCCACACATTAAATACACAAACACTAAGGAAACCTGATGTGCAAAAAAAATGTTTTAAGTAAATTTACAATTTTGTGGTGCAAATTCCCAGTCATCCTGGACCGCATGCGGCCGGGGGCCGCAGGTCGGACACCCCTGGCTAAGCAAAAGTCTCTGGGCTCTGAGTTCGGTACCCGCAACTCCTCACTTTGGCATCCGAAGCCCCGTCTTTGGCCCTGGTCGCCTGTTATCACTCCCCCTACCCTTAGTTTCTGTCCTTCGTGGGCCTTGTGTCCTGCGGGAAGTCTGACGGCGCGGTGGTGGTGGGCCAAGGAACGGGAGCCCACCCTAGGACATCCACGCCAGCCTGAAGAAGCCACCTCGCACTTACTAAGCTTCCCACAGGCACGCCCGGAGTCGCGCACAGTCAGGGTCGCCCTGGACCCTCCCAACAACTCAAAGCGCTCTCGAAAGCAGAAGCAGAGTCCCGGAACCGGCAGGCGCTGGTTCCAAGCCCCGCGGGCGAAGGAGTGCGGGCCGGTCCCGAGTCAGCCGCCGGCGGGGGTCTTGCCCGCGAGGTGTGGGTCCAGAGGCTTGGCGTGTTTTGGGGCGGCCCGCAGGCCAGGACGGAGTCGGAGTCAGGACTGGGCGACACGGGATTCCGCGCAGCGCGCGCCCAGACCCGAGAGACCAGCCCCAGCCCCGCGCCCCGCCGGAACCCCACCCCGTGGTCCCGGGAGGCCCTCTCGGGCCCTCCTGACACAGCGTCCGCGGGTAATGCCCTGGGTCTACCCCGTTCCCGGCGCGGGACACTCACCCCTCGCCGCCGCCCCCTCCGCCCCCGCCGCCCCCGCCGCCCCCGGCCCGGGTGCTGGCCCGGCGGAGAGCTGCGCAAGTAGCGGCAGGCCCGGAGGGCGTGTCCTCCGTTTCGGAGAGGGCGGGCGCCCCGCCTCGCAGGACGCACGCGCGGCAGCACCCGGCGGCCTGCGGGCCGAGACGTGGGCGGCGCGGGGCTGAGGCTCTGGGAAAACGGGTCTGGGGCTGCCTCGCGGCACCCGAGGTCCTCGCTTCCCTGGCAACATCAGCTTTTCCCCCCAGGCGGTGGGCGGCTCAGCGGTGGCGGGACTCTATATTTTTCCCTTTGCTTACTCCGGCTCCCGGCGAAACCGAGGCTTGTCCTAACCAAGCCCCTAAATACCCGACCCCTGCACCAGCTCCCCCTCAGACCTCTTAATCCGCTTCCGAGATAGGGAACGGAGGTGGGGCGAGGGCGACTGACTGGGATCAGTGGGTGCTCCCGGGGGCACCCGGGCTTAGCCTGTCTCCTACCTTCCCTAGGGCTTGACCACAGGCAGGCCTCCATTTACTCAAAGGTAAAAATCTCTCTGTGTGCTTGTCTGGATTAAATCCACTGATCCATGAACAGCAATTAAAATAAAAAAAAATGCTATAAAAATTAGTGGCTCTCTCTCTTTCTCCTTCCCCTCCCTCTCTAAAAATAAATAAATAATTTTTAAAATGTATTTATTTTTAGAGAGGGAAGGGGGAGAGAGAAACATCAATGTGCGGTTGCTGGGGGCCATGGCCTGCAACCCAGGCACGTGCCCCGACCGGGAACTGAACCTGCGATGCCTGATTCCCAGCCGCACTCAATCCACTGAGCTACGCCAGCCAGGGCAAATAAAATCTTTTTTAAAAATGTTATTAAAAAATTCACTGTTCCTTCATGCTACAAATAATTATCAAGCACCTGGTCCCGCAGGGAACCACAAAGGGTTGTGCAGGCTGTGAGCGGCACCAAGGTGCCTGGCCAGATCCCATTCACTCCTCGTTAGGGCTGTGTCTCCTCCAAGGAAGGGCGTCCTCTGCTCACTTGCACACAGCTGTTGAGTGGTGGCCCCTGCCCCGGCTGAGGCCCTCATCCAGCTCCTTGTTGAGTGAGATAATTCAGTTTAACAGTACTGACTGAGCACCCACGGAGAACCGTTCTAAGTGCCTTGGCTTCACCTCACGTCATTAAAGCTTTGGGAAGAGTAGGTGAAACACCTTACACCCAGCAGGGCTGGGATGCCCCTGTTGCCCCAGCACGAGGGGCACGCAAGGGCTGCCGGGAGATATCTACACACTGCACCTGCAGCGCTTGCCGCCAGGCGGCGCTGCCAGGCCAGGGCGGAAGCGAGCGAGGCTGATGGCGACTGGGGCCAGGTGTTTGCCGCTCATCGAGGGGCCTGTCCCGTGACCCCGATTCTCCATGGCGCGACTCCCGAAAGGCCTGCCCCTCTCTGTTCCTTGGACAGAGGTCACGCGTGCTGCCCCCCTGCCAGGTCTGGGGCCTCCCATGAAGTTGGCCCTTTACCCCCCAGAAACCACACGGCACAAGTTGGGCTGGGATGGCCTTTTATTTGGCTGCATGCGGCAGGGGTGGGATCAGAGCGCTGGTGTCCTTCCAGCAGGAGGGAGAGGCACAGGGCAGGGCGGGGAGGCCCTGTGAGTGGCAGTTCCCAGGGAGGGGTGGGGGCCTGGTCCAGGCATGCAGGTGGACGGGTGGTCCTGGAAAACCCCCACCCCACTCATCCTATGCCCACACGTCCTAGCTCTCAGAATCACAGCCCAATCCTGCACCCACCTGCCCTGCGTTACCACGCACGGGATTCTGGAGGTTTTCTGGAGAGCCCCACCCCATCTGGCTTCTGGGGCGTCACCGATGGTGAGGACAGCCCAGACATGATGTGGGCTCCACCCCTCCCTGGGCCTGCCCGCCTCAGACCAGGCACGAGCCCCTGGGCCTCAGCCACCACTCAGAGCCGGTGGGCAGAGCGAGAGCTTGGCAATAGCAGGGCCCTCCTTCCCCTCTCAGGCCTGTCCGAGCTCCACAGTCACCTGCCAGCATCTGCACGATCCGGGGCAGCCACAGGCTTGCCAGATGCCCTTTACTCTGCCCCTGCTTCGAGGGGCCCCAAAAGACACACGGAGAAAGGCCCAGGAGGGGAAGGTAGAAAAACCCACATCTAGGCTGCCTGCCATCTGAACTTGGAGACCCACCCTCAGAGGGTCTGGGGGAGGGCCCTGGGGAACACCCTGTACCTCCCTAACCTCAGGGGCCCCTCTCTTAAAGGCCTCATTGTTCAGGTCGAGCCCTGGGATGGAGAGCTGGCTGTCCATGGCACGTGAAGGCGCACGAATGGAGGGGCTCCACAAAGAGGCGGGGGGCGGGGGGGAGCGAGGCTGAACTAGGAGCTCCGGGGGAGCCTGGCCCACCTCCCTTCCCCAAGCCCCGCCTTTCTCTGACAACAGTTTACCAGTCAGCGTTCTGTGGATGGGGGCTCGGAGACATCAGGGCAGCGGGGGGCCCGATGGTGATGCTGCTGTTGGTGACCCTCGGGCCTTACCAGCCGGCCCAGGAGTGGGTGTCCACGCCCCCGTGCTGAAACCAGATGTAGCAGACGCCGGGCGGGTAGTTGGAGAAGGTGTGGGAGACCTGGGAGGGGGCAGGTGGAGGGAGGAGAGTGAGGTCAGGGGAGCTGACCCTGAGGGTAGCACTGCCTGAGGGGCGGGGGGGCAGGGGGGCCAGGAGGGGTCTGCTATCTTAGTGCTGGTCCAGCGGTCAGAGGAACTGAGTCCCAGCTCTAACTCTGAGATGCTGGGCAGACCACCTCCCCCTTCTACGCCTCAGTTTCCTCATCTGTAAAACGGGGTACAGTCCTGGAGGGTCCGAGTGCAGCACAGAATGATGAAGGCGATTTCGCAAGCCTTCAAAGGATGCCCAGTTCCATCATCGCTGGGCACATGCAGCTATTTAGGTTAAAATCAGTTAGCATTAGGGGAACTTAAACATTCAGTTCCTCAGTCACACTGGGAACTGGCTCTTATCAAGAGGCTATTGGCTACCACACTGGAGAGCGCAGACAGATCATTGCTATCACCGCAGAAAGTTTCCTGGACGCCACTGGTCCAGATCCGGAGTTGGCCCCTCACCCACTTTTGCAAATTTGATCGGAACACAGACGTGTCCACTCGCCGAGCTGCGTCTCACAACGCAACTGCGGAGTCGAAGAGTCGAACAATCGTAACAGGGACAGCACGGCCTGCAAAGGCTGAAGTGTTTCCATCTAGCCCTTTAAGAAAATGTTGGCTGACCACTTGCTGTCACCTGCCAGCATCGAGACAGCAGCAACAGTCGACATTAGTCATTAATCGTAGCCTTTTGAGTGTGGCTTCACCGGCATCACCTCGCTGACGTCTTTCAGAGCTCAGAGCGGCCGAAGCCCGGGTGAGAAGCAGCAGAGCTGGGATTTGAACCCAGACCTGTCTGGCTGTAGTCTCAGCCTTGAGCGGTGTGCCCTTGCCCGCTTCCCGGCCCACATACCTCCCTCCACTTGGCGTCGCTCTTCTGCTGGATCATCGCTGGGTCTGGCTGGAAGGTGCCCAGAGGCGCGTGCGCTGACGACAGGAGCTGAACGCACAGCTGGTACTTGGACCCGCAGTCCGGCCTTGCTGCGAACCTGCAGGCAGAGGGAAGGCCCATAAGGGCCTTGGAGATGGGGGGGGGGCAGGGTGGGGGGTGGGGGCGCCTGAGTGGCAGGGGCCCCCCCCTCAAACCCTCGCTCCGGGCACTCACCAGTCCTTGACCTTGATGTCCGGCCGTGTGGTGTCCATCAGCTCCTCCCAATACCCTTCGGCCTTGAGGTCCACCACCTGGGACTTGAGGCAGGTGCTGGGGGGCGGGCGGAGGGTGGGGGGAGCTGAGGTTCTCCACTAAGGCACTGGGAGGCTAGGACTGCCGGCCCAGAGCAGGAGAGACCCCAGGGTTAAGTGACTTGGGCTTCCCCCCGCCACCCCAAGGCCCCCTGACCTTGGATCTTACTAATAAGAAGTCACGAAGTATTTCTTGCCCTGGTCATTGGGGAATTCCTACCCCTGGTCTCCGAAGAGATCTTCCACCTTCCACTCATCGCCTCCATTCACGTCCAGGCTCCAGAACTCAAATCCCTCTGGCAGGAAAGCACCGTGCACATCAAGGGGACGCCCCTCCGTGGTCGCCGTCTCCCAGGGGCCCCTTCTCCCTGCACCTCAGCAGGTGCCCTCCAGCCCTGTGTCCCGGCCGTGGAACTCTGCAGGTCAGCATCGCCTGCCTCGAACGAGGAACTTCCTGTGTGTCAGGCACCGCGCACGGCAGGTGATTTGCACTGGAAGCCTGAGACACGGGGTGATGAGCAAGCAGCAGCCCCTTCTGTGACGCAGAACGCTCTGACGCCGGCCAGATCTGGGTCTAGTCCCGCCCCTGCCCAATCTGGGCTGTGTGACCCTAGGCAAGTTGCTTTCCCCCTCTGAGCCTTGGTTTTGTCTTCTAGAAACTGGGGTCAAGAATAGGAACTGGCAAACTTTCTGTAAAAGGCCAAAATATTTTAGGGTTTGCAGGCACTGTCTCTATCACATAGTATGCTTTTTTTTTTAACCCTTCAAAACTGTAAAAACTATTCTTAGCTTCTGGACCTGATTTGGCTCACAGACTACATAGTGCGCCCGCTGCTGGGCGAGAACAAGGCTGTTGGGGCGTCCAGTGAGGCGGGCCTCCGACAGCGCTGGAGAGCCTGGAGTTGTTTTACCGTCCTGTTGCTCCAGGATTTGGCCGCGTAACTGAGAACAAGGTTCCGCCCCCTCTCCCCCACCCGTGCAGGCGTGCAGCCCACGAGTTCACCACACCGAGGGAACAAGGGAGCTCTGGATGGCTGCAGAGGTCTTGCTTAATCTGTTGTTGGGAGGTGCTGGAGAGAAGACTGGCTCTGTCCTTCTTCCATAAGGGAAGCCCCCTTTGGCCTCTGGGGCGGTCTAGTAGGCCTGGCCCTGGAGGCTGACTTCCTGGTCTCGTGCCTGGAACATAGTTAGCCCTAAAAGGCCAACACTCCCTCTCCTAGGAAAGGTCACCGGGGAAGTAGTCTTAAGGGTGAAATAAGAAATGCCCCTCTTGGCCTCAGTGTGCGCATCGGAAAAATGGGTATGCTACCAGTACCTGCCTTTTAGGGTTATTGTGAGAGGATTAAAGGAGTTAAACCACTGAAAGTGCCTAGCGCTTAGTAAGTGCTTAGTAAAAGTTAGCAGGTGTCCCGACAGCGTGCAAGTGGCCCTGGGGCAAGGGCCACTTCCAAGTCAAAGTGCCAGGGACCCCAACTCCCCCACTCCTACACCCAAGCCAAGCTGGTTTTACTAAAAACCTTTATTATGAAAAAACAGCAGAGCTACATTCAACAGTAAATTGTAACAGAAAGTTAGGACAAATTGCCCTGGCTGGCGTAGCTCAGTGGATTGGGCTCGGGCTGGGACCCAAAGTGTCGCAGGTTCGATTCCCAGCCAGGGTACGTTCCTCGGTTGCAGGCTATAACCCTCAGCAACCGGACATTGATGTTTCTCTACCTCTCTCCCTTCCCTCTCTAAAAATAAATAAATAAAAAATCTTTAAAAAAAAAGAAAACAGAAAGGACAATCTGGTGGGGTTGCCCAAGGTTAGGACTGTGGCAGGAGGTCCCTGGGCTGGCAGGGATAGAGGCCGGACAAGCAGCTGTCAGATGACTGACTGCCAGGAGGGCCTGTCCAATGGGGCGGGGGGTGGGGGGCAGGTCCACATGTCCTTCCGCCCCTAACTGGGCCTGTGCGGGCCCGTGGAGGGCGCCGGGTTCCTGGTGACCTTGGGGCTGATGACGATGCTGCTGTTGGTGACACGCGGCCCGTACCCGCCTGCCCAGAACTGGGTGTCTTTGCCCCCGTGCTGGAAGAGGATGTGGCGGACACCCCGGGGGTAGTCCGAGAAAGTGTGGGTGACCTGAAGGGAGGGCAGAGGAAGTGACCACCAGGATGGGGAGGGCAGGAGCTCCAGGTGGCAGCGCCGGGGGCGGTGCAGGCCCTGGCAGAAGTGGGTGGCAGGCGAGCCGTGGAAGCCTCACCTCTGTCCACGTGGCATCGTTCCACTGAGGGATGGTCACGGGTGGGGGCTCGAAGGAGGCCAAGACGATGTAGTCGGCCGAGAGCAGCTGCACTCGGATGCTGTAGGTGCAGCCGCAGTCTGCTCTGGCGGCAAACCTAGGCGAGGGTGGGGGGTGCAAAGGACTGTGCACCCCAGACAAAGGGTGGCCCCGTGGGGGGCCGGCAGCAGGCCTGCACATTGGAGCTCTTGAGGTTCATTTCCTGTGCGGCCCACGAGGCCCACCCTCCGCACTCCCTGGACCCCGGGAAGCAGTCTGCTTGGGCTGGGCCTCAGATTCTGTGTCTGAGCAAAGGACGACCCTTTAGGGGATTTCAGAGATGAGTTCGCCTTAAAAGGCAGAGCACAGAGATGACGGCCCAGGCAGTGGGAGCGGTGTCACCTGCAGGCTGCCGGGGGCCGGGCTGTGGCCTCCACGGGCGGTTGAGGGAGCGGTGGCCTGGGCAGTCGGGGCTGACACAGAGCTCGCCCTCCACTCAGCCCCGCTGTTCCCGCCCGACCCCCCGCAGCTCTGTCCGCCCGTCCATCCCTGCCCTCCGCCCTCAGAGGCCTGGCCCTGCCTGGGACGGGGGTCCTGCTTCTGCCCTGGGCCAAGTCAGAGCCCGGCACAGCTGTGTCCAGAGGAGGCACGTGAGAGGCGTGGGCTGCACGGGGGCCAGGGCGAGGGAGGCAGACAAGGCACGTGAGCACCGTGAGGTGCAGGGAGGCTGGAGCTTGGCTGTCTGTTGCTGCAGTGCCTGTTCGTGACACGCCATCTGTGGGCCTCAGTCTCCCCATCTGTAAAGTGGGGTCGGTGTTCACTGCGAACAGGGTGGTGGAGAGGCGAGAAGGTGCTACGGGATGAGCAAGTGCCGGGTCTGGCGATGGGGAGGGGGTGGCCTGGCTTGGGGCGGCCCCTGCCGCAGGACACTACCGGGCACAGAACAGGCACTCCCCCGGGCGTCCTCAGGACCAGTGGAGGATGCAGAACTCGGGGCCCCCGCTGCACTCACCAGTCTGTCACCACAATGTCAGGCCGGTACTCGTCCATCAGCTCCTCCCAGTAGCCCTCGGCTTTGAGGTTCACCACCTGGGACTTGCGGCAGAGGCTAGGGAGCAGGAGGAGAGGCTTGCACTCCCAGGTGTGCTCTGCGTGGCCCGGACCCGGGAGGTGCCTCAGGGGACCCAGCAGTGTCCCCTGACTGCTGCAGGGCAGCTGCTGGCTGGTGCTGACTCTGGCTCCTAGCTCGGTGTAGACCCGTAAGACACATGCCGGGAGGCTGACCCCTTTGAGCCTGGGGGGCATCTGATCCCAGTCCCTAGGCCCAGTCTCCCGGGGCCCCAGGGAACCCACCCTCCCAGGTTAGGGACAGCCTGTAGACACCCTGACAGCCTAATTGGCCCACGGGCTCCCGGACTCCTGATGTTGGTGTCCACCCCCAGTCAGAGCTGACTCTGCCCCAGGAGGCAGTTGGCTGCCAGCCGCACGGAGCCCCTGAGGAGGTTGGCCTGGGGTTTGGCAAAAGGTGTCCTGACCCTCCTGCCCACAACCCAGCCTGCGCGGGGCAGTGTGTGTTACCGGTAGGATGTGACGAAGTAGTTCCTGACTTGGGGGCTCGGGAAGTCTGTCCCACGGGCTACAGGTAAGCTCTCCACCTTCCACTTATTGCCCCCATTGTCGTCGATATGCCAGGCTGCCATACCCTCTGCTAGAGACAGGAGCTGGGTAAACGAAAACGCGCAGCCTGGCCCTCCCCATGTGGTCCTGGGAGGGAGGGGGAAGCGGGCGCTGAAAGGCAGGGCCTGCTCACACTCTCAGATCCCAAGCTGGGCCCCACCTGCACCTGGGAACACCCCTACAAAGCTCAGCTCCTCCAGCCCATTCCCACCTGTCCCCAGGGAACCGCTTCTGATCTGGGACCCGCCCCCCCTGCTGTGTCCTTGACTAGCTGGACTCCTCACGTGAGGCTGGGGCAAGACGTCACCTTTTCTCCCTTGCATGCTGCTGAGGATCTCCTGGAAACACCCAGGTTTCGGTTCTCAGAACATTACATTAGGATGACACCTTCGTTCTTTTTTAATATTGATGATCTTTTTAAATTAAAGATTTTACTGATTTTGGGGGGGGGGAAGAGAGGGAGAGAAACACTGATGTGCAGGAGAAACATGGATCGGTGGCCTCTGACATGCCCCCCAACTTGGGGACGTGGCCTGCAACCGAGGCATGTGCCCGAACAGGGAATCGAACAGGGGAACTTCCGGTTTGCAGGTGGACACTCAGTCCACTGAGTCCTACCAGCCAGGGTGCTACTTCCGTTCCTGGTGGCTCATGTGAGTGTGTCCCAATGGGACAACTGACATTGCCCCTGGTGTCCTACCCATGTCACCAGGACCTGAGGGGCGGGAGGCCCATTGTCGGGCAGCAGGTTCTAGTCTCCCTCTTCAGACTGAGCTGAGAAGCCCTTCACACAACAAGGAACAGCGGTTTCTCACCAAGGTTTTCTAGAACCAGCACCAGGGGAGCTTTCCCAGACCCCTCCCTTGCTTCCTCTACAGGGGCCCGCTCCACACCCACCACCCAAGGGCCTAGGGCCTGTGCAGGGCAGAGGCAGACGGGCAGCACAGGCGGCCAGGAGCTGGGCTGCACCGAGCTGCGTGAGCCGAGTTGGTGGCCTGGCTGGGCAGCTTCTGAGAGGGACGCTGGGGTGGGAGGGGGGGAGCTCTGAGTGTGGGGCCACTGGCTATGGGGGTGCTGAGGGGCCCAAGGGCCTTCAGCAGCTGGGCGTTTCTGGGTCTCCTGGCCAGACACCCGTCCTGATCTGGGCCTAATGTTCCCACCTGCACCCTGCAGCCGGCCTGCCTTAATGGGCAGCCCGTGGGACCCAGGTGAGAGGGATTCCAAGTACACACACAGTGTGTCTTAGTCAGTTGCTGCTGTAGGCCCCATAAGGGACACGGTGCCTGGCACGTAGTAGGTGGCTGCATGAAGGGGAAAAACCCTAGCGAGAACAAGATAAACAGGGACCTCAAATCTTGTGACGGCAGCCACCTCTCAAAAGCCTCCTTTTCGTCATCCACATAATCGGGATAAGGGAGGCAGTCACTCTTGGGAAGAGCTCAGGACAGTGCCTGGCACAGAAGTAGCCCCCACGGACCTCAGGCAGCTGAGACTGAGCGAAGGGGGAGGGTGGACCTGCGGTTGGGTTATCCAAGGTGCTGTGGACGCTGGATGTACAGAGGCAAGCAGGAAGTTTGTGAGAAAGAAAAGAGCTGAAAAGGTACTTCTAGGGTATGAACAGGTCTAAGAAGGAACTGGATGGAGGTGGAGGGACAGAGGTAGGGGACGCTGCTTTCAGATGGGCCAGGGCAGGTCCCCAAACTGAGGCCTCAAGAGGGAAGAGGGACCGAGGGAGTATGGTGGGTGCTAGGTTCTGAGCGGACACTCTGGGTAGTGTGGGCATAGCAAATGCAACGGTCCTGAGGTTCTGACAAGGAGCAGCCCACCTTCAGCACACGGGTTGCGCAGGAGGTTCCTGCGGAGGATGCACAAAAAATAGAAGCTCGGGGACTTCTGGCAAGATGGAGGAATAGGTGGACGCACTATACCTCCTTGCACAACCAAGAATAGAACAACAATAATTTACAGTCATAATATCACTCAGAACTGGTAGAGGATTTATATGAATGGAAGTCGGACAGCCAAGAAGTTGAAGTAGACCCGTACATCGAGACCGGTCGGGGACAACGAGTCCGGTGGGCGCGGGGCTGGCGCGGGTCGACGGCGCGCGGAGGTCGGGGGAAATTTGGTGCAAAATCGGCGCAACAGCCATCCGGGGCGCAAGAACGCAGCAGGGATCCCTGAGTACGCAGGCTGTGGCTGGGGGAACCAGTGAGACAGCGATTGTGGACCAGAGCAGAGCTCGCAGCCCAGGATCCCAAAGAGGTGTCTGAGCCCAGGAGAACGGAACTACCGCCATTGTTCCCTCCCATCCCCGCTCCCACTCCCGCCCCCACATATAACGTCACAATCTAGCGACTGGGGTGCCCAGCTCCGGTGAACACCTAAGGCTCTGCCCCCCACCGTAACAAGAGCGACCAGACCGGAAAAAAAAGAAAAAAAAACAAAAACAAAAGGGAGACAGGGAAAGACATAAGACATGTTTCCAGCAGAACAGATCAGGCCCCCAGGACTCATCCTTTTGAGCAACCAAGAAATAGCCAATCTATCAGATGCACAGTTCAAAACACTGGTGATCAGAAAGCTCACGGAACTGGTCGACTTTGGGCGCAATTTAGATGAAAGGATGCAGGTTACCATAAAAGAGATGCAGGAAGATATGCGGAGGAGAGCCAATAGTGAAAGGAAGGAATGTGGGTCTCAAAACAATCCAGTGGACCAGAAGGAAGATAGAATCAACCAAGCAGGAAAGCATGATGAAGTAAGAATCCAAAAAATCGAGGAAAAGCTTAAGAGCATCCAGGACACCTTTAACCGTTCCAACATTCGAATTATAGGGGTACCAGAAGGGGAGGAGCAACAAGTGGAAAAGTTATTTGAACAAGTAATAAAGGAGAACTTCCCCAATCTGGCAAAGGGAACAGTCTTCCACGAAATCCAAGAAGCTCAGAGAGCCCCAAAGAAGCTGGACCCAAGAAGAAACACACCAAGGCACATCATCATTACATTAGCCAAGGTAAAAACGAAGGAGAGAATCCTAGAAGCAGCAAGAGATAAGGGGACAGTAACCTACAAAGGAGTTCCCATCAGACTGTCAGCTGATTTCTCCAAAGAGACCTTACAGGCAAGAAGGAGCTGGAAAGAAATATTCCAAGTCATGAAAGACGAGGACCTACATCCCAGATTGCTCTATCCAGCAAAGCTCTCATTTAGAATGGAAGGGAAGATAAAGTGCTTTTCAGATAAGGTCACGTTAAAGGAGTTCATCATCACCAAGCCCTTATTTTATGAAATGCTAAAGGGACTTATCTAAGAAAAGAAGATAAAGACATGTATAGTAGGACAGCAAACTCACAATTATTAACAACCACACCTAAAGCAAAACCAAAAGAAACTAAGCGAACAACTAGAACAGGAACAGAACCACAGAAATGGAGGACACATGGAGGGCTAGTAGCAGGGGGGTGGGAGGAGGAGAGAGGGGGAAAAGGTACAGAGAATAAGGAGCATAGAATGCAGGTTGAAAATAGATAGGGGGAGGGCAAGAATAGTACGGGAAATGGAGAAGCTAAAGACCTCACAAGTACGACACATGGACATGAACTAAAGGGGGAGAACGTGGGTGGGAGAGGGGGTACAGGGTGGAGGGGAGAGAAGGGGGGAAATGGGACAACTGTAATAGCATAATCAATAAAATTTATTTAAAAAAAAGAAAAAAAAAAGAAAAACAAAAGAAAAAAAAAAGAAGAAAAAAAAAAGAAGCTCCTCCAGTCTGCCACCGGCTGGTCGCAGTCCTCGGTGATGAAGCCGTCACGCAGGCTCGAGTTTCCTGAGGGTCACCGTATCGATGAGGTCGCGCCGGAGGCTGCAGTCGGGTCGGCAGCGCAGCAGCAGCTGCCGGGCGGGACGTGCGGGACGTGCGTGGGCACCTCCGGCGAGGTTTGCGCATGGGTGGAAGTCTGCACACCAGGGGCCTGTGTGGGGGCGAGGGGGGGAGCGTGACAATGGTCAGAGTGCAGACCAGGGAGGTGGCCGCCTCAGATCGCCAGGGTCCCAGACAGGGACCCCTGATCCTGCTTCTGTTGTGAAGCGGGAGGTTAAGACCAAAGTGCTTGAGCAGCCTTCCAGTTCACAGGAGACCTTCAAACTACAGACTAAGTTTTTAAAATGGGTTTGACGGGGGTGGGGAGAGAAAAGGAGAGAAACACCGATTTCCTGTTCTACTTACGAATGCATTCATTGGTTCCTTCTTGTATGTGCCCTGACCCGGGGTGGGGGATGGAACCCGCAACCTTGGTGTAACTGGGTGGCAGTAACCAACTGAGATACCTGGCCACAGCCGGACTAATTTTTTAAGAGGCCTTTCCCCCCCATTACAAGAAATAATTGCTTAATTTTAAGTTGGTGCACAGTAAGAGTTTGCCAATGCCACACTGCCGTCTGGGAGCTCGGTAAGGGTTTGTGCTGGTGTTTTAGCGTTGTGAACTCACTGTTCTCAAACCTCGATTACCGTGTCACACCTGACTAAGCGCCGAGGCTGCTAGCATGGAGGAAGAAAGTGCGTGCGTCCGCCCGGAGGCCAGAGCCGCTGTGAAAGGCCCAGAAACTGAAAAGCACTTCTGGGGCCGTGAGCGAGGCTGCCCGGGTTCGAATTCTGGCCTGCAGTGACTCACATGAGAGTCTGTGACAAGGAGGTGATAAGTGTCCCAGCCTCAAGGGACGGGAGGAGCTAAAAAAAGTATTTGGCACAACAGTTCCTCACTTCCATCACTGGGCCAAAACCAAAAGCAAACGGAAGGACGCAGTTGTAGAGGACCCCGCCTCTCCCCGTTTCCACAAAGGCTTCCCTCCCCCACATCTGAACTGCACAAGGGTGTTGACTCTGGGGGGCCTGGTAAGGCAGCTGTCCTAGGGGGTCCCCCAGGTGGGCGGGGTGGGCAGGGAACACCCTGCCCCCACACAGAAGCACGGGGAAGGCTCTATAGGGTGTGCTGAGGCCTTGTGGGCAAGGCTGGGGGGCACTTGCAGGGAGTGCTGGTGTAAGGCTCCTCCCACGCCCCTCTCCCTTCACTTCTGGCTGTGGCCGTGCACCCCGACCCTTGGCACAGGGTCGCCTGCCAGGGGCTTGTGGGCTCACCACTCAGGTGCCCCGACGGGGCCGTCCCCCGACGAGGTCATTTGTTCCTGTCCATCAGATGCAGCCCTACAAGGAAGAACAAGCCCATAAAAGCAGCTGAGGGTGTGTCTGATCCCCCGCCCCCCGCAGATGCCACAGCTGTCGGACTTTGGGGGCCCTCAGCCTCAGGCAGCGCCGCAGGGCGCCCCTGATTCCAAGTGCTCTTATTGCCTCTGTGTATGGATGGCTCGGCCTCCAGCTCGGGCTGGCTGTCTGCATGGAGGAACTTCCCCAGAAGGGCAGGAAGGCTGTGGGACCTGCACGCCTCGGCCCCCTGGGGTTTCGCCGGCCAACGCTGCCTCAAACACTGTGCTGTGAGTTGTTTGAATAAAGGGCCCCAAGGGCCGACCTGGACTCTTACCACCTGTAGCAGGAGGGGCTGATGCAGCCAAGTTCACCTGGTGCAACGGCCCCTTCTCTGTCAAAGTGCCAGGGACCCCAACCCCCACGCCCACCCCCAACCCAGGCTGGTTTTACTGAAAACATTTCTTATGAAAACAACGCAGTGCTATATTTAACAGTAAGTTGTAACAGAAAGTTAGGAAAATCTGGTGGGGTTGCCCAAGGTTAGGACTGTGGCAGGAGGTCCCTGGGCTGGCAGGGACAGAGGCCGGACAAGCAGCTGTCAGATGACAGACTGCCAGGAGGGCCTGTAGAATGGGGCAGGGGGTGGGGGGCTCAGCATCTCCTCCCGACCCTACCTGGGCCTGTGCGGGCCCGTGGAGGGCTCCCGGTTCCTGGTGACCTTGGGGCTGATGACGATGCTGCTGTTGGTGACGCGCGGCCCGTACCAGCCTGCCCAGGACTGGGTGTCTTTGCCCCCGTGCTGGAAGAGGATGTGGCGGACGCCCCGGGGGTAGTCCGAGAAGGTGTGGGTGACCTGAAGGGAGGGCAGAGGAAGTGACCACCAGGATGGGGAGGGCAGGAGCTCCAGGTGGCAGCGCCGGGGGCGGTGCAGGCCCTGGCAGAAGTGGGTGGCAGGAGAGCCGTGGAGGCCTCACCTCTGTCCACGTGGCATCGTTCCACTGAGGGATGGTCACAGGTGGGGGCTCGAAGGAGGCCAAGGCGATGTTGTCGGCCGAGAGCAGCTGCACTCGGATGCTGTAGGTGCAGCCGCAGTCTCCTCTGGAGGCGAACCTAGGCGAGGGGCGGGGGACTCAGGACTGTGCACCCCAGACAAAGGGTGGCCCTGTGGGGGGCCGGCAGCAGGCCTGCACATTGGAGCTCTTGAGGTTCATTTCCTGTGCAGCCCACGAGGCCCTCCCTCCCCACTCCCTGGACCCCGGGAAGCAGTCTGCTTGGGCTGGGCCTCAGTTTCTGTGTCTGAGCAAAGGGCGACCCTTTTGGGGATTTCAGAGATGAGTTTGCCTTAAAAGGCAGAGCACAGAGATGACGGCCCAGGCAGTGGGAGCGGTGTCACCTGCAGGCTGCCGGGGGCCGGGCTGTGGCCTCCGTGGGCGGTTGAGGGAGCGGTGGCCTGGGAAGTCGGGGCTGACACAGAGCTCGCCCTCCACTCAGCCCCGCTGTTCCCGCCCGACCCCCCGCAGCTCTGTCCGCCCGTCCATCCCTGCCCTCCGCCCTCAGAGGCCTGGCCCTGCCTGGGACGGGGGTCCTGCTTCTGCCCTGGGCCAAGTCAGAGCCCGGCAGAGCTGTGTCCAGAGGAGGAACGAGAGAGGCGTGGGCTGCACGGGGGCCAGGGCGAGGGAGGCAGACAAGGCACGTGAGCACCGTGAGGTGCAGGGAGGCTGGAGGTTGGCTGTCTGTTGCTGCAGTGGCTGTTCGTGACACGCCATCTGTGGGCCTCAGTCTCCCCCATCTGTAAAGTGGGGGTCGGTGTTCACTGCGAACAGGGTGGTGGAGAGGCGAGAAGGTGCTACGGGATGAGCAAGTGCCGGGTCTGGCGATGGGGAGGGGGTGGCCTGGCTTGGGGCGGCCCCTGCCGCAGGACACTACCGGGCACAGAACAGGCACTCCCCCGGGCGTCCTCAGGACCAGTGGAGGATGCAGAACTCGGGGCCCCCGCTGCACTCACCAGTCTGTCACCACAATGTCAGGCCGGTACTCGTCCATCAGCTCCTCCCAGTAGCCCTCGGCTTTGAGGTTCACCACCTGGGACTTGCGGCAGAGGCTAAGGAGCAGGAGGAGAGGCTTGCACTCCCAGGTGCGCTCTGAATGGCCCGGACCCGGGAGGTGCCCCAGGGGACCCAGCAGTGTCCCCTGACTGCTGCAGGGCAGCTGCTGGCTGGTGCTGACTCTGGCTCCTAGCTCGGTGTAGACCCGTAAGACACATGCCGGGAGGCTGACCCCTTTGAGCCTGGGGGGCATCTGATCCCAGTCCCTAGGCCCAGTCTCCCGGGGCCCCAGGGAACCCACCCTCCCAGGTTAGGGACAGCCTGTAGGCACCCTGACAGCCTAACTGGCCCACGGGCTCCCGGACTCCTGATGTTGGTGTCCACCCCCAGTCAGAGCTGACTCTGCCCCAGGAGGCAGTTGGCTGCCAGCCGCACGGAGCCCCTGAGGAGGTTGGCCTGGGGTTTGGCAAAAGGTGTCCTGACCCTCCTGCCCACAACCCAGCCTGCTCGGGGCAGTGTGTCTTACCGGTAGGATGTGACGAAGTAGTTCCTGACTTGGGGGCTTGGGAAGTCTGTCCCACGGGCTACAGGTAAGCTCTCCACGTTCCACCTGTCGCCCCCATTGTCGTCGATATGCCAGGTTGCCATACCCTCTGCAAGAGACAGGAGCTGGGTAAACGAAACCGCGCAGCCTGGCCCTCCCCATGTGGTCCTGGGAGGGAGGGGGAAGGGGGCGCTGAAAGGCAGGGCCTGCTCACACTCTCAGGTCCCAAGCTGGGCCCCCCTGCACCTGGGAACACCCCTACAAAGCTCAGCTCCTCCAGCCCATTCCCACCTGTCCCCAGGGAACCCCTTCTGATCTGCGACCCGCCCCCCCTGCTGTGTCCTTGACTAGATGGACTCCCCTCGTGAGGCTGGGGAAAACGTCACCTTTTCTCCCTTCCATGGTGCTGAGGATCTCCAGGAAACACCCAGGTTTCGGTTCTCAGAACATTACATTAGGATGACACTTTCGTTCTTTTTTAATATTGATCTTTTTAAATTAAAGATTTTACTGATTTTGAGGGGGGGGGAAGAGAGGGAGAGAAACACTGATGTGCAAGAGAAACATGGATCGGTTGCCTCTGACATGCCCCCCAACTTGGGGACGTGGCCTGCAACCCAGGCATGTGCCCTGACAGGGAATCGAACAGGGGAACTTCCGGTTTGCAGGTGGACACTCAGTCCACTGAGTCCCACCAGCCAGGGTGCTACTTCCGTTCCTAGTGGCTCATGTGAGTGTGTCCCAATGGGACAACTGACATTGGCCCCAGTGCCTTAACCATGTCACCAGGACCTGAGGGGTGTGAGGACCGTTTACAGGTTTGTGGGTGGATCCCGGGAAACCTCTGCCCGGGGTAGGAGGGGTAACAGCTGGGAGAAGAGGCCTCCTCTGGGTGGGTGGGGTGCAGTGCCCCCCATTTGCAGAAGGGTTCCCACCAGCTCGGGCAGCAGGTTCCAGTCTCCCTCTTCAGACTGAGCTGAGAAGCCCTTCACACAACAAGGAACAGCGGGTTCTCCCCAAGGCTCTCCAGAACCAGCACCAGGGGCGCTTTCCCAGACCCCTCCCTTGCTTCCTCTACAGGGGCCGGCTCCATACCCACCACCCTGGGGCCTAGGGCCTGTGCAGGGCAGAGGCAGACGGGCAGCACAGGCGGCCAGGAGCGGGGCTGCACCGAGCTGTGTGAGCCGAGTTGGTGGCCTGGCTGGGCAGCTTGAGCGGGGCCTGGGGCGGAGGGCGGGGAGCTCTGAGTGTGGGGCCACTGGCTATGGGGGTGCTGAGGGGCCCAAGGGCCTTCAGCAGCTGGGTGTTTCTGGGTCTCCTGGCCAGAAACCCGTCCTGATCTGGGCCTAATGTTCCCACCTGCACCATGCAGCCGGCCTGCCTTAATGGGCAACCCCTGAGACCCAGGTGAGAGGGACTCCAAGTACACACACAGTGCCTCTTAGTCAGTTGCTGCTGTAGCCCCCTACAAGGGGAACAGTGCCTGGTACGTAGTAGGTGGCTGCATGAAGGGGAAAAACCCTAGCGAGAACAAGATAAACGGACCTCAAATCAAGTGACTGCAGCCACCTCTCAAAAGCCTCCTTTTCGTCATCCACATAATGGCGATAAGGGAGGCAGTCCCTCTTGGGAAGAGCTCAGGACAGTGCCTGGCACAGAAGCAGCCCCCACGGACCTCAGGCAGCTCGGACTGAGTGAAGGGGGAGGGTGGACCTGCGGTTGGTTCATCCTCTCGAGCACCTGCCGTGTGAAGGTGCTGTGGACGCTGGATGTACAGAGGCAAGCAGGAAGTTTGTGAGAAAGAAAAGAGCTGAAAAGGTACTTCTAGGGTATGAACAGGTCTAGGAAGGAACTGGATGGAGATGGAAGGACAGAGGTAGGGGACGCTGCTTTCAGATGGGCCAGGGCAGGACCCCAATATGAGGCCTCAAGAAGGAAGAGGGACCGAGGGAGCATGGTGGGTGCTAGGTTCTGAGCGGACACTCTGGGTAGCGTGGGCATAGCAAGTGCAAAGGTCCTGAGGTTCTGACAAGGAGCAGCCCACCTTCACCACATGGGTTGCGCAGGAGGTTCCTGCGGAGGATGCACAAAAAATAGAAGCTCTTCCAGTCTGCCACCGGCTGGTCCCAGTCCTCGGTGATGAAGCCGTCACGCAGGCTCTTGAGTTTCCAGAGGGTCGCTGTGTCGATGAGGTCGCGCCAGAGGCTGCAGACGGGTCGGCAGGAAAGCACCAGCTGCCGGGCGGGCACGTGCGTGAACACCTCCCGCAGGACGGTCCGTGGCAGCAGCTCGTTGATGCTGAGCAGGGCCATGGCGCGGGTGTGGTGAGTTTGGCACACGGCCTGTGGGGGGCAATAGCGGTCAGAGTGTCAACCAGGGAGGTGGCCGCCTGAGATCCCTGGGTTCCCGGGCCAGGGACCCCTGATCCTGCTTCTGTTGTGAAGCGGGAGGTTAAGACCAAAGTGCTTGAGCAGCCTTCCAGTTCACAGGAGACTCCCAAACTACAGACTAAGTTTTTAAAATGGATTTGTCGGGGGTGGGGAGAGAAAAGGAGAGAAACACCCATTTCCTGTTCTACCTAGGAATGCATTCATTGGTTGCTTCCTGCATGTGCCCTGACCCGGGTGGGGGATGGAACCCGCAACCTTGGTGTAACTGGGTGGCACTAACCAACTGAGATATCTGGCCAAAGCCGGACTAATTTTTTAAGAGGCCTTTCTCTCCCATTACAAAAAATAATTGCTTAATTTTAAGTGGTGCACAGTAAGAGTTTGCCAATGCCACACTGCTGTCTGGGAGCTCGGTAAGGGTTTGTGCTGGTGTTTTAGTGTTGTGAACTCACTGTTCTCAAATCTTTTTTTTTTTTTTTAAAGATTCTATTTATTTATTTTTAGAGAGGAAAGGGAGGGAGAGAGAGAGACAGAGAGAGAGAGAGACAGAGAGAGAGAGAGAGAGAGAGAGAGAGAAACATCAATGTGCGGTTGCTGGGGGCTGTGGCCTGCAACCCAGGCATGTGCCCTGACTGGGAATCGAACCTGCGACACTTTGGTTCGCAGTCCGTGCTCAATCCACTGAGCTACGCCAGCGAGGGCTGTTCTCAAATCTTGATTACCGTGTCACACCTGACTAAGCGCCGAGGCTGCTAGCACCGAGGAAGAAAGTGCGTGCTTCGGCCCGGAGGCCAGGTGTGATAAGCACCCCCGTGAGCGCGCCCCTTCCCTCCTCGGTGGTGGTCAGGCCAGAGCCCGGAGAAAGGCCCAGAACCCGAAAAGCACTTCCGGGGCCGTGAGCGAGGCTGCCGGGTTCGAAGCCTGGCCTGCAGTGACTCACTTGTGAGACTGTAAGAAGGAGGTGATAAGTGTCTCAGCCTCAGAGGGACAGGAACACCTAAGAAAAGCATTTGGCAGAACATTATTCTCACTTCCATCACTGGCCAAAACCAAAAGCAACTGAAACCAAACCGAAATAGGCAGTGGTAGAGCCCCCTCACCCTTTCCAGGAAGGCTTCCCTGCCCCCACACCTGAACTGCACAAGGGTGTTGACTCTGGGGGGGCTGGTAAGGCAGCTGTCCTAGTAGGTCCCCCAGGTGGGCAGGGTGGGGAGGGAACTTCCTGCCCCCCACAGTGAGAAGCACGGGGAAGGCTTCTCGTGTCCCATAAAGACTGGGACACAGAGGCAGGTCGCCATCTTGAGCGGAAGGGGGGTGGGCACACACACTCTGGCTCCTGCCCAGCGGACAGCGTTTTAGCACGGCAGAGAAAAACAAATATAAGTAAATCACTGTACAATCGCTATGCAAAATACTGTGACGATTAAACACTCACGTGGCCAGATCTAATTTTTCAGGAGGAACTGTGAACATTTCCTAATCATGAAACCTGTGAGTTTTTAAATGTGGTCCACTTCTAAAAGCACTGTCTAGGACCTTGGCATCTCTGGGCCACACTGGAAGAAGAAGAGTTGTCTTGGGCCACACATTAAATACACAAACACTAAGGAAACCTGATGTGCAAAAAAAATGTTTTAAGTAAATTTACAATTTTGTGGTGCAAATTCCCAGTCATCCTGGACCGCATGCGGCCGGGGGCCGCAGGTCGGACGCCCCTGGCTAAGCAAAAGTCTCTGGGCTCTGAGTTCGGTACCCGCAACTCCTCACTTTGGCATCCGAAGCCCCGTCTTTGGCCCTGGTCGCCTGTTATCACTCCCCCTACCCTTAGTTTCTGTCCTTCGTGGGCCTTGTGTCCTGCGGGAAATCTGACGGCGCGGTGGTGGTGGGCCAAGGAACGGGAGCCCACCCTAGGACATCCACGCCAGCCTGAAGAAGCCACCTCGCACTTACTAAGCTTCCCACAGGCACGCCCGGAGTCGCGCACAGTCAGGGTCGCCCTGGACCCTCCCAACAACTCAAAGCGCTCTCGAAAGCAGAAGCAGAGTCCCGGAACCGGCAGGCGCTGGTTCCAAGCCCCGCGGGCGTAGGAGTGCAGGCCGGTCCCGAGTCAGCCGCCGGCGGGGGTCTTGCCCGCGAGGTGTGGGCCCAGAGGCTTGGCGTGTTTTGGGGCGGCCCGCAGGCCAGGACGGAGTCGGAGTCAGGACTGGGCGACACGGGATTCCGCGCAGCGCGCGCCCAGACCCGAGAGACCAGCCCCAGCCCCGCGCCCCGCCGGAACCCCACCCCGTGGTCCCGGGAGGCCCTCTCGGGCCCTCCTGACACAGCGTCCGCGGGTAATGCCCTGGGTCTACCCCGTTCCCGGCGCGGGACACTCACCCCTCGCCGCCGCCCCGTCGTCCCCGGCCCACGTGCTGGCCCGGAGGAGAGCTGCGGAAGTAGCGGCAGGCCCGGTGGGCGTGTCGTCCGTTTCGGAGAGGGCGGGCGCCCCGCCTCGCAGGACGCATGCGCTGCAGCACCCGGCGGCCTGCCGGCTGAGACGTGGGCGGCGCGGGGCTGAGGCTCTGGGAAAACGGGTCTGGGGCTGCCTCGCGGCACCCGAGGTCCTCGCTTCCCTCGCAACATCAGCTTTTCCCCCCAGGCGGTGGGCGGCTCAGCGGTGGCGGGACTCTATATTTTTCCCTTTGCTTACTCCGGCTCCCGGCGAAACCGAGGCTTGTCCTAACCAAGCCCCTAAATACCCGACCCCTGCACCGGCTCCCCCTCAGACCTCTTAATCCGCTTCCGAGATAGGGAAAGGAGGTGGGGCGAGGGCGACTGACTGGGATCAGTGGGTGCTCCCGGGGGCACCCGGGCTTAGCCTGTCTCCTACCCTCCCTAGGGCTTGACCACAGGCAGGCCTCCATTTACTCAAAGGTAAAAATCTCTCTGTGTGCTTGTCTGGATTAAATCCACTGATCCATGAACAGCAATTAAAATAAAAAAAAATGCTATAAAAATTAGTGGCTCTCTCTCTTTCTCCTTCCCCTCCCTCTCTAAAAATAAATAAATAATTTTTTAAAAATGTATTTATTTTTAGAGAGGGAAGGGGAGAGAGAAACATCAATGTGCGGTTGCTGGGGGCCATGGCCTGCAACCCAGGCCCGTGCCCCGACCGGGAACTGAACCTGCGATGCCTGATTCCCAGCCGCACTCAATCCACTGAGCTACGCCAGCCAGGGCAAATAAAATCTTTTTTAAAAATGTTATTAAAAAATTCACTGATCCTTCATGCTACAAATAATTATCAAGCACCTGGTCCCGCAGGGAACCACAAAGGGTTGTGCAGGCTGTGAGCGGCACCAAGGTGCCTGGCCAGATCCCATTCACTCCTCGTTAGGGCTGTGTCTCCTCCAAGGAGGGGCGTCCTCTGCTCACTTGCACACAGCTGTTGAGTGGGGGCCCTGCCCCGGCTGAGGCCCTCATCTAGCTCCTTGTTGAGTGAGATAATTCAGTTTAACAGTACTTACTGAGCACCCACGGAGAACCGTTCTAAGTGCCTTGGCTTCACCTCACGTCATTAAAGCTTTGGGAAGAGTAGGTGAAACACCTTACACCCAGCAGGGCTGGGATGCCCCTGTTGCCCTAGCACGAGGGGCACACAAGGGCTGCCGGGAGATATCTACACACCCCACCCGCCGCGCTGGCTGCCAGGCCGCGCTGCCAGGCCAGGGCGGAAGCAAGCGAGGCTGATGGCGACTAGGGCCAGGTGTTTGCCGCTCATCGAGGGGCCTGTCCCGTGACCCTGATTCTCCATGGCGCGGCTCCCGAAAGGCCTGCCCCTCTCTGTTCCTTGGACAGAGGCCACGCGTGCTGCCCCTGTGCCCGGTCTGGGGCCTCCCATGAAGTTGGCCCTTTACCCCCCAGAAACCACACGGCACAAGTTGGGCTGGGATGGCCTTTTATTTGGCTGCATGCGGCAGGGGTGGGATCAGAGCGCTGGTGTCCTTCCAGCAGGAGGGAGAGGCACAGGGCAGGGCGGGGAGGCCCTGTGAGTGGCATTTCCCAGGGAGGGGTGGGGGCCTGGTCCAGGCATGCAGGTGGACGGGTGGTCCTCGAAAACCCCCACCCCACTCATCCTATGCCCACACGTCCTAGCTCTCAGAATCACAGCCCAATCCTGCACCCACCTGCCCTGCGTTACCACGCAGGGGATTCTGGAGGTTTTCTGGAGAGCCCCACCCCATCTGGCTTCTGGGGCGTCACCGATGGTGAGGACAGCCCAGACCTGATGTGGGCTCCACCCCTCCCTGGGCCTGCCCGCCTCAGACCAGGCACGAGCCCCTGGGCCTCAGCCACCACTCAGAGCCGGTGGGCAGAGCGAGAGCTTGGCAATAGCAGGGCCCTCCTTCCCCTCTCAGGCCTGTCCGAGCTCCACAGTCACCTGCCAGCATCTGCACGATCCGGGGCAGCCACAGGCTTGCCAGATGCCCTTTACTCTGCCCCTGCTTCGAGGGGCCCCAAAAGACACACGGAGAAAGGCCCAGGAGGGGAAGGTAGAAAAACCCAGATCTAGGCTGCCTGCCATCTGAGCTTGGAGACCCACCCTCAGAGGGTCTGGGGGAGGCCCCTGGGGAACACCCTGTACCTCCCTAACCTCAGGGGCCCCTCTCTTAAAGGCCTCATTGTTCAGGTTGAGCCCTGGGATGGAGAACTGGCTGTCCATGGCACGTGAAGGCGCACGAATGGAGGGGCTCCACAAAGAGGCGGGGGGGGTGGAGCGAGGCTGAACTAGGAGCTCCGGGGGAGCCTGGCCCACCTCCCTTCCCCAAGCCCCGCCTTTCTCTGACAACAGTTTACCAGTCAGCGTTCTGTGGATGGGGGCTCGGAGACATCAGGGCAGCGGGGGGCCCGATGGTGATGCTGCTGTTTGTGACCCTCGGGCCGTACCAGCCGGCCCAGTAGTGGGTGTCCACGCCGCCGTGCTGAAACCAGATGTAGCGGACGCCGGGCGGGTAGTTGGAGAAGGTGTGGGAGACCTGGGAGGGGGCAGGTGGAGGGAGGAGAGTGAGGTCAAGGGAGCTGACCCTGAGGGTAGCGCTGCCTGAGGGGCGGGGGACGGGGGGGCCAGTAGGCGTCTGCTATCTTAGTGCTGGTCGAGGGGTCAGAGGAACTGAGTCCCAGCTCTAACTCTGAGATGCTGGGCAGACCACCTCCCCCTTCTACGCCTCAGTTTCCTCATCTGTAAAACGGGGTACAGTCCTGGAGGGTCCGAGTGCAGCACAGAATGATGAAGGCGATTTCGCAAGCCTTCAAAGGATGCCCAGTTCCATCATCGCTGGGCACATGCAGCTATTTAGGTTAAAATCAGTTAGCATTAGGGGAACTTAAACATTCAGTTCCTTAGTCACACTGGGAACTGGCTCTTATCAAGAGGCTATTGGCTACCACACTGGAGAGCGCAGACAGATCATTGCTATCACCGCAGAAAGTTTCCTGGACGCCACTGGTCCAGATCCGGAGTTGGCCCCTCACCCACTTTTGCAAATTTGATCGGAACACAGACGTGTCCACTCGCCGAAGCTGCGTCTCACAACGCAACTGCGGAGTCGAAGAGTCGAACAATCGTAACAGGGACAGCACGGCCTGCAAAGGCTGAAGTGTTTCCATCTAGCCCTTTAAGAAAATGTTGGCTGACCACTTGCTGTCACCTGCCAGCATCGAGACAGCAGCAACAGTCGACATTAGTCATTAATCGTAGCCTTTTGAGTGTGGCTTCACCGGCATCACCTCGCTGACGTCTTTCAGAGCTCAGAGCGGCCGAAGCCCGGGTGAGAAGCAGCAGAGCTGGGATTTGAACCCAGACCTGTCTGGCTGTAGTCTCAGCCTTGAGCGGTGTGCCCTTGCCCGCTTCCCGGCCCACATACCTCCCTCCACTTGGCGTCGCTCTTCTGCTGGATCATCGCTGGGTCTGGCTGGAAGGTGCCCAGAGGCGCGTGCGCTGACGACAGGAGCTGAACGCACAGCTGGTACTTGGACCCGCAGTCCGGCCTTGCTGCGAACCTACAGGCAGAGGGAAGGCCCATAAGGGCCTTGGAGATGGGGGGCAGGGTGGGGGTGGGGCGCCTGAGTGGCAGGGGCCCCCCCTCAAACCCTCGCTCCGGGCACTCACCAGTCCTTGACCTTGATGTCCGGCCGTGTGGTGTCCATCAGCTCCTCCCAATACCCTTCGGCCTTTAGGTCCACCACCTGGGACTTGAGGCAGGTGCTGGGGGGCGGGTGCAGGGTGGGGGGAGCTGAGGTTCTCCACTAAGGCACTGGGAGGCTAGGACTGCCGGCCCAGAGCAGGAGAGACCCCAGGGTTAAGTGACTTGGGCTTCCCCCCCTCACCCCAAGGCCCCCTGACCTTGGATCTTACTAATAAGAAGTCACGAAGTATTTCTTGACCTGGTCATTGGGGAATTCCTTCCTCTGGTCTCCGGAGAGATCTTCCACCTTCCACTCATCGCCTCCATTCACGTCCAGGCTCCAGAACTCAAATCCCTCTGGCAGGAAAGTACCGTGCACATCAAGGGGACGCCCCTCCGTGGTCGCCGTCTCCCAGGGGCCCCTTCTTCCTGCACCTCAGCAGGTGCCCTCCAGCCCTGTGTCCCGGCCGTGGAACTCTGCAGGTCAGCATCGCCTGCCTCGAACGAGGAACTTCCTGTGTGTCAGGCACCGCGCACGGCAGGTGATTTGCACTGGAAGCCTGAGACACGGGGTGATGAGCAAGCAGCAGCCCCTTCTGTGACGCAGAACGCTGTGACTCCGGCCAGATCTGGGTCTAGTCCCGCCCCTGCCCAATCTGGGCTGTGTGACCCTAGGCAAGTTGCTTTCCCCCTCTGAGCCTTGGTTTTGTCTTCTAGAAACTGGGGTCAAGAATAGGAACTGGCAAACTTTCTGTAAAAGGCCAAAATATTTTAGGGTTTGCAGGCACTGTCTCTATCACATAGTATGCTTTTTTTTTTAACCCTTCAAAACTGTAAAAACTATTCTTAGCTTCTGGACCCGATTTGGCTCACAGACTACATAGTGCGCCCGCTGCTGGGCGAGAACAAGGCTGTTGGGGCGTCCAGTGAGGCGGGCCTCCGACAGCGCTGGAGAGCCTGGAGTTGTTTTACCGTCCTGTTGCTCCAGGATTTGGCCGCGTAACTGAGAACGAGGTTCCCGCCCCCTCTCCCCCACCCGTGCAGGCGTGCAGCCCACGAGTTCACCACACCGAGGGAACAAGGGAGCTCTGGATGGCTGCAGAGGTCTTGCTTAATCTGTTGTTGGGAGGTGCTGGAGAGAAGACTGGCTCTGTCCTTCTTCCATAAGGGAAGCCCCCTTTGGCCTCTGGGGCGGTCTAGTAGGCCTGGCCCTGGAGGCTGACTTCCTGGCCTCGTGCCTGGGACATAGTTAGTCCTAACAGGCCAACACTCCCTCTCCTAG